TTGTGATTATTGGGCACGGTCCTTGGAAAACAATTAACAGGCTCAAGATTGACTCAGCCTTCCATCCTTCTGAGGTGAGTAAAATGAGAACCCAGATTGTTGGGGGCAATATGCTGACCCTGTAAACTGCTTAGAGAGGGCTGTAAAGCACAGTGAAGTGGTATATAAGTGCTAAAAATGGAACTTTGAATACACCATTGTGGATCCCATTTTGACTTTATGATCCTATTCTGCAAATGTTCCTAGGGGATCTGTGTCTTGCAAAGAAAAATGTTGTTCTGGAATTAAAGGCGATGCACAAAATGCTTAACAGCCTCATATTTTCATACAGTTCTTAAAGAGTGTGATTATATCTTGATGAACAGCTTACTGGCTCATGAGAAGTGAATTTCAGAACCAGCAAAGCTTTCAGGCAGCTGACATTATCATGTAATTGTACCTTGTATTGTGTATATCCAACTACTGTATAAAAAGTAAATACATATTAACATTTTGAAACGTAGGACCCACTACAATTTAGAGATAAGTGAGCGCTATATAATCAAATCCTGGACCCTGTGGTGTTTCTGAGTGCCACCAACCACTGCCTTAGTCTCATCATATGTCTAACTGTAAATGCCTACTACACTTTTAGTAAAACAAGAAGAATCCAGATTTTGGGGAGGAGGGTATGAAATTATAGTTTGGGTTTTTACATAGGCAAAGTGCTTAGCTTGATGATTAGAACCCATTGTGCTACAAAAACCATTTGTATTTTCACAGTATTGTTTGGCCTATATGCACAAAACAGGGCTGAAGTAGAAATAATTGAAGAAAGGGAAATGGGAAGGGGAAGAGTAAAACAATCTGCTTGAAGAAAAGTTCTTTTTTTTCTGTTTAAAAATAGGACAGGGTCCCACTGTGAAGCAGGAAGAAACTAGAATGCTTGTGTATAGACTCATTTTTGTGCAAAAGTGTGATTTTTAGGCAGCTGTGCTTTCAAACTGGAGTTGGAAGATAGCTGCAGCTGAAATTCACACCCAGTACCACCCCTTCCTGTATCCTGTGGCCAGGAAAGGAAAAATATACGGACATGGACTTATTAATTGGGAGGACGTCAGGAGTTGAGGAGAACTGTTTGTAGTGGGTGAAACTTTGTGTGAGTGTGATGTGTGTAGGACTAAACAACCTAAAAGTTCTGGGGGTACAATGGAGCGGCAGTAAGCAGGGTCTCATCCCGTGACTCTCTTTGGATGACAGCTGCACAACAACTAGGCAACCATGTCAAGACGAAAGCACATTGAGCCCTCAAGGGTCTGGATTTGGGCATCGTTTCTGTTAATGGAAGGTGAGTGGACCGATTTCATGGGTAGAATGTCATGGGTTTACAGGAAGAATCATCTCTATCCTTGCTTCTGAGTCAAAGTGTTTAAGGAATTTGGGGAGTTTGGATAGATGAGTAACTCAACAGCTCTTAAATTTACATATTCCTCGCATCCTAATAACTTGGCCATGAGGTTGGTTCTCCCTTGATGTAATTGATATTCTGGCATGGTGTTTACAGGCGCTTTAGGTTTCAAAGGATTTCTATGCTGTTATAGGTATGAAGTAGAATAATTTCAGTTCCAAATCAATTGTTCTGTGCTATGTTGGGTGCTTTGCATTTAAATTTTCTTTATTTGGGGCATTATATATTTGTGACATCTGGGCCCTTGCAATCCATAATCTGGAGCTCAGCAGGAAGCAGAGATGGCAGCTTCTTGCCATCTGCTGTTTCTCTCCTACCACGAAAAACAAGTTTTTAATATCTTGAGCATCAGAAAAATCCAGTACTTCATAAGGCAAGTTAGCTTAGACTTCAGCAGTTCTAAAACCAGCGAAAACAATGTTTGCAATATGGTTGCATGGAAGAGGATCAGTGGTTGCAAAAGGGTGGTTTGCTTAATGCATGGTTTTAGAACTATTAGAACTCTAAGCTGAGTTCACTTATTACACAAATTCATGGACTATGGTTTATAGATTAGAATACAGAATAACAGAGTTGGAAGGGACCTTGGAGGTCTTCTAGTCCAACCCCCTGCTCAGACAGGAAACCCTATACCATTTCAGACAAGTCGTTGTCCAATCTCTTCTTTAAAAACCTCCAATGATGGAGCACCCACAACTTCTGGAGGCAAGTTGTTCCACTGATTATTAATACTGATACTAAATACTAAAAAACTGATGTTCTAACTGTCAGGAAATTCCACCTTAGTTCTAGATTGGACCTCTTCTTGATTAGTTTCCACCCATTGTTTCTTATCCTGCCTTCAGGTGCTTTGGAAAATAGGTCGGCCCCCCTCTTCTTTGTGGCAGCCCCTCAAATACTGGAACACTGCTATCATGTCACTCCTAGTCCTTTTCATTAATCTAGACACACCCAATTCCTGCAGTCGTTCTTCACGTTTTAGCCTCCAGTCCAGTCCAGTTTGGTGTATTCCAGTTTGGTGTATTCATACAATACACCAAACCAAAATTATATTATCTTAGTTTATATCACATTACCAGCTTGATCATTTGACAGAAGTTGAATATTTGTACTAGTGGGAAAACTATGATTGGCTTTGTCTATTTTTCTGGATTTTTTAAAATTAAAAGACAGCATGTTCTGTACACATTATTTTCATATCCTTTATCTAGAATTGCGTACTAGGTTAGGTGGGATGAGGATCCTGATTCATTGCTTGTTTCTAGTTGGATTTGTTCATGGACTAGAGATAGGGTCCCACCTAGTTTTTTTTAAATTTCAGGCAGCAAACTTTATTGAATTGGCCAGCACGTTTATCTCTGTATTCTTTCCCCAGTTTGATTTATTTTGAATTTATGCAAATAACAGCTCATTTCTTCTATTTGTAATGGTATGTGGGCATGATTTTGGGAGACAGGAGGAAGAGCCGCAGATTAGACAAGAGTCAGGTGAGTCCTCAGAAGGAATGTGTTTGTGGCAAACATCTCAGAAGGGACCCTCCCTACTTTCTTGGAGAGATGTATTTCCAGACTTGCAAGATTCTGTTAATGTAAAATTACAATAAAGGTAGAGCTGGATGTGCTTCTTGTCTGGATTACCTCACAAAGCTGATACTAAGCTTTGGAGTCTGATAAAGGAGTCTTTCTCTATTCCTTAGACCAGGGGTGTCAAACTCCATTTCATTGAGGGCCACATCAGGGTTGTGTTTGACCTCGGGGAGCCAGGGTAAGCGTGGACAGTTAGACATCTCTCACGTTGGGGTGCCTGTGGTGGCTCGAGCGCTCTGCCAGCAAAAACAGGCTCCCAAGCCCCGTTTTTGGCTGCGATGGATTCCTGCAACCCTCTGTCAGCGAAAACAGCTCTGTTTTCATTGGCAGAGGCAGTGGGCCGGTTCTTTGCTGTTTCCAGGGCAGCTCCATGGGCCAGATCTAAGCATCCCTTGAATTTGACACTCCTGCCTTAGACCAAGGTGATTCTGTAACTCAAGAATTCCCATGCTTCTGTTCAAGGCCCAGGTAGTGGATTGATGTAAAAAGTTATTTATCTTTACAAGAAGTAGGTAGAAGTATTTAGATTAATACTTATTGGGATCCCTGTGTCTGTCATGTGCTGTGGCCTAGGACCTGAGCAAAATTTACAGGCATACATGCACATACACACAGTACGTACACATAAGTACGTATGGGTTTGTCCTATACTTTTGGCAAACTGAACTGCTATTTCCTTCTCACCATATTATTGCCAAGAAAGAAAAGCAAATACATCCTTTTAAAATGTGGCATTTTTTTTAAAAAAAATAAGGAGGTCATTTTAAGCACTGTGATAAATTTAAGGACAATTTTTATGAAGTCATGATTGGGAAAATTAGCTGCACCTGGACTAGAGGAACAGTGAGAGCCTATTGTATTTGAAAGACCCAAGAGACTTTTCATTGTGGCTGGTGGTCCATGACTCTCAGTCTCCTCCAAGGTGACAATGTCAGGAAGCTTTGCAGGGGAAGTTCCAGAAGAAGGACCGTGGGCGATAACAATGAGTTAGGTTCTCAGAGAATTCATAATCATAGAATATCATTGTACATACAAAGTGTTGGAAAATAGATGAAGCTTTTACCAGCTCTCATTAAATCCTGATACTTGAAGGCAAGATGTATATTTCTTTCTCTCTTTTTTTGAATGGTTGTTGTTTAATAATATTCTTTGGAACACTAAAAACACAGTTGTTATATCAGGACTTCATCTTTAGATTTTTTATAAGTGTACTCCACTTTTCTCCATTTTATTCAAGGGTGCATCCATTATCTTCTAACGTTTAATGTCAAGCATAAGAAATTGAGAGCCAGAGAGGTTCAGATGAATACAAGTTTATTGTATTCTAAAGCTCTCTACAAGAATCTGAACTACTAATGGTCAAAGCAAATTGGTGATAGATAAGAATCAACAATGGGCTGAACTTAGATCTCTTGTGGGCACAAAGGGACTCGAGGCTGAGGATGTGCTTGACCCCTCCCTCAGGTTCAGCCTCTTTAACTCCTATATCTAACTTCATAATAACCCTGGGAATCAAGTTACACAGGCAGCAGTCTGGCTATGCCATAATTTATAAGTTATGGAGATACATGGGTCCATAAATTCTTTAGAGAGATCGTATCTCCTGTCCTCCACCCCCTTTCAGTATCAAAAGCTCTTACCTTTCAGCAGCAACTGTTCAGAGGTAAAGCTTTTGCGCTTCTTACGTTAATATGTTCTTTGTTCACCACCATAATCTTATCACCATAATAAAGGAGGAAGAACGGAAGATTAGTAAGGAACAAAAATGCATTCCAGCTCTTCCCATTTAGACTAACAGAGGAACAGAGGCTGCCATCACAATGGAACTCTAGCAATTGCAAAGTCATAACACAGAGGAGATGCTGCTGCTACCAGCAAAAAGTAGAGCAAGGTGAAGAGAAGAGATTGACTGGAGTAAAAAATGACCAGTATGTTTCTGCTTCCCCTCTCCTTTCTCCTTCTTCCAGGTTCAAGGTCTCGCTCCATGGAATTTGCCCCACAGATTCTTGATCACCCCTCCAACCTTGTGGTAGGTAAGGACCAACCAGCCACTCTGAACTGCCGTGCTGATGGAAATCCAGCTCCCACCATTGAATGGTATCGCAATGGAAAGTACGTGAAACCCAGCAAAGATGATGCTACTTCCCAGCCTACCCTCCTGCCAGATGGGTCCCTCTTCTTCCTCCGACTCAGCCAGGAGAAAGGAAAATCAGATGAGGGTGTATACCATTGCCTGGCCAGGAATCATCTGGGTAAAGCCATGAGTAAAAATGCATCACTCTATTTAGAAGGTAAGGCATTGAAAGTTCCTGGAGTATTTGTAGTAGTAGTAATATTCAGGAAGAAGCCTTGTTTATACCACATCCCAGCACTTCGTGCTGAGTTTGTTTCTTTGAGCCTATTCAATATGAAGAGATACTACTGTCCTTTCTGTATTGTTTTAGTCAGGGCAAAGAGACAGCTATGTATCAACTGCAGTGGTTGTTGGCAATTTATTTCAGGTTCCTCTCCCTGTAATGGAATGCATGAGTGACCTTGAAGAAAGGGAAGAAGAAACCATCAGACAAGAGCAGCAGGAATCCCCTGTGCCTTAATGGTCAGAGAAAGAAACTTAGGAAGGACCCCCCCTAATTACATAATGGTTACCTTCCCTTCACTATGCCTCTCAAGAGATCAGCAAAGACAGCAGATTGGGGTGATAAAATGCAGAACATCCTACAAACTCATAAAGTTCCTTCATTAATCCCCTCCTTCAGTTATCCTGTGGGAAAGACCTTGGGAGATATGTGGGAAAGACCTTGGGAGACGTGGCAAAGGAAATGGTCAGATATAGAGACAGCATAGGAAAATGCACATGGCAAGGACCTGTCTCAATAAAGCAAGCAGTTAAAAGTGGAGGGAGGGAAGTTTGTACTTTCAAACTTGCAATATTCTGTTAATGCAATAAAGTAGATTTAGCTCACCTAGTCATGTTTCCTGTCTGGTTTACCCGAGAAGGTCAATATCAAATTGCAAGTCTGAAAGTTCAGGCTTCCCAACCTCCACTTTTAACTGCTCGCTCCATTAGATCCTTCCTAAGTTTCCTTCTGTGACCATTTAGCCACTGGGGGCTCCTGTCTCTTCTGTCTGATGTTTTCCTAGACAGCATCTCTTCTTCCTTTTCCTCAAGGTCACCCATGACTAATTTGTTTCTTCCTGGGCCACAATGATACATAAGAAACACAAGGCATTTCCTTCATTCAAGTGTGCATGCTGGGGCAAGAATATACAATAGAGGCAACCAAGCAGCATCTCAAGGATATCGGCAATCAAGCAGACTTCATGTCCTTCCCCAAATAAATTTTTTTAAGTAGCCCTCACATTTCTTACTGTCCTGCTGGATACTTAAATCAAATCACCATTCCTAAACTAAGCCAGGCCATGAGCTTTGCACAGTTTGACATGCTTCTGTCAGTGATGGAAAGGGATTCAAAGGGATTCCATTCGAATCCTGGGTCTGCCCATATGGCAAAGGAGCCATTCAAACCATCACATGCGCCTTACTGTGCTGTCCATTTTATGCTGATGCTTGCTGCCAGTTGCTAATTCCACACTTAATTAAATATCCCAGTGACTCTGATCTGTTCTGTTTAAACCTCTTACTGTCAGATTCAAACGACTCTTATCTCTTTAAGTGTGGCTAAACTCTGCAACATGATATGTAAGATGTGGAGCAATCTGGCTGACAAATCTGTTCATCTAAGCTGCCTAATCAATATTAGTTAGGATAATGGATTTGGATGGTGAGATGGGCAGCATATATATTCAATAAACAAAACAAACAAGTACATTTTATGCATCCAAGTGTTTTAGGGACTAGAAATGTTCTGTTATGTTCTATTCAAGTTGTCACCTTCAAACTCAGTGCACCCCAAGGCAGAATCCTGTCCTAAGAGATGAATCCAGCATCAGATTTTGGCCCTCTCTGTTCCCAGGTTTACATGGCTGTTTTTTCCTAACCTTCAGGGTTTTTGAGATCCAAAGGTACTCATCAGGCAGAAGGTGCATGGAACCTTGATGCATCCCTTTCGTCCCCCTACTAGTTCTCCAACCTGGGGAGAAAGTTAATCAAGCCATTAAAAAGCAACACCCCCAAATTATACATCTTTCTGTTCTCAATTAAGCTCTGCCAATCTGCAGCCAGGAGAGTTCTGTGCTTGTGGAACATGTTGACTTTGTAGCCTTAAGACATTAAAGCTATTTCACTTCCTAAAGAACTTGGGAGCTGGCTAATTAAAATATGGTTACTTTGTTCATTTTTGTATCTCATTTGCATTTTCCTTCTGGGTCATTGTTAATCCACAGGAAGATGCTTTTTGTGTCCAGGCCCTGTATGTGGAAGTCTCTGCTCCAAGAGAGGACTTCCCACCCTATTTAAAATGAAATGAACGTTGAATTTGGTTCTTCGGTGGAATCAGTTTCTTCTCTCCATGTCTTTATTTTTAGATTTTTAAAAGTGTAGCTAACAAAATTCAGCTACTTTGTTTATGTGCCTTTTAAAAAAAAAATCTGCTTTATGTTTTATAAGCCACCTTGTGGGTTGTTTTCTCCCCTCCTTTGCAATGAAGAAAACGAGGTAGCAATTTCTGTAGAAATAAATAAATAACGCAGAGGCCTCAGGGAGAGAGTAAGCAATGTATTAAGAATAATAAATCAGTTGACAGAAAATAACAAAAGAATAATTGGAACACAAGGTATGGGATATATTCTCTTTCTCTCTCTCTCTCTCTCTCTCTGCCAGCCCCCCCCCCGTGTGTTTGTGTGTGTATGTGTATATGTTTGTGGGTCTCTGTGCACTAAGCTACATTTTTGCTTCCTTGCAACTCACACACAATCATATATGTGATATGGGCTGGATGCCACACAGCCCATGTCTACTACCCTCAGTCCACATTTTCTCCACCTTGGCATCTAAAATGTCTCTCCTGTAGAGTTGTGCAGCTCAAATTATTAATGCAATTAGAATTCTTCTTTAATAAGCAGGCCTGGAATCTCTCCAATTAACACTTCATTACTGATCAGATTCCCTTCAGCTCCCGTGGTCCGTCAGGAAGGCTCATGGTGATGTTTGTCAGCTATAAATATTCATACAAGTAACGATGACTTGGGAGATGCTTCCGCTAGCCAGGCTCAATCAAGTGTGCCAGAAGAGGCTGCCTTTTTGGTACATTTCTTGCAGAGAACTGCCCTCTCTGGCTGGCTGTGAGGCCAAGCCAGAAAAGGATGCCAAACAGGTGCTCCAGGAGTCAGCAAAGGCGGCATTTTCCTTTTTTCCAGCTTCCTTCTCAATGCATCCCTTCCAAACAAAATCAGCAGGGAAGTAGATGTTGTTTTGGCATTTTGCTAGAAGTGTGAATCTCCCTCTGAGCAAATTGGCTACAAATGTGTGAAAACTGGGATGGGAGGATCCTAGCCTGGAACATTTCAGAGAGCAGATACGAGAACACTGTTTCATGTATCCAGATTCTTTTTTTAAATGCCACTTTTTAGCTGTCTCAAACATTTTATTTGGTTAAATCATGCTGGCTGGGTAATTCTGGGAGTTGAAGTCCCTGAGTCTTAAAGTTGCCAAGTTTGGAGACCCCTAGGTCAAATCTTTGACAAAATGTTGGAGTACTAACTTTTTTTGTGCAATGATTACTCAGATGCAGAGCTTTTCCTTTGTCCCTTGAAGTTTACAACTCTGCCCCAATATCTCTCAACGTTGACAAGCTTAAGATGCGTGGACTTCTACACCCAGAATTCCCTAGCCGGCAAGCTCCAAGCCAGCTGGGGAATTCTGGGAATTGAAACTCACACATCTTAAAGTTGCCAAGACTGAGAAATAATGTGTTAGAGTAGGGGTGTAAAACTCAAGACCTGCGGGCCCGATCCTGCCCTTGGAGTGCTTAGATCTGGCCGTGGGCCTGCCCTGGAAACAGTGAAGGACTGCCCTGCGGTGCCTCTGCCAGCAAAAATGGAGCTTATGAGAGCTGCGCACAGCCATCCTGGGCTCCATTTTCGGCCACAATGATCTCCTGCAACCTTCTGCCAGTGAAAACGGAGCTCAGGGAGGCTGCATGTAGCCCACTCAGGCTCCGTTTTCAACTGCAATGGCTTCCTGGAGCCCTCTGCCAGTGCGCAGCCTCCCAGAGTTCTGTTTCACGCCCACCCTGGCCATGTCCTCTCCACCCCCACCCCCGGCTTCCGAGGTCAAACACAACCCTGATGCAACCTCAATGAAATTGAGTTTGACACTCCTATATTAGACTAATCAGTAGCTTAGCATTGCAAAGACTTATGCTTGACAAGTTGAAGAGCTGTTCCTAAGATCCTTCAGCTTTCCAGAATGTTCTCTAGAACAGGGATCCCCAACCCCTAGACTGCAGCTTGGTACTGGGCTGCAGCCCATTCAGAACCGGGCCGCACAAGCGGCAGGCGAGTGAGCATGCCTGCTGCTTGCGTGGGACCATTTCCTCTCCCTCTCCCCCAATTGCCGGTCTGCAAAGCTGGAAAGATTGGGGACTTCTCCTCTAGAAAGCCATTTTTCTCTCTTTTTCCGAGTGCTCTTCCAAACAAAACATAGATTGAAGCAGTCAGTTACCTTCTAAAAATACCTATGAGATTTATGTGAGGGCCAAAGGCATTCTTGAACATAAAGATCAAGCTGGACATTCCTGTTTTAATTTTCTTCCATTTAACTTTTTAATTAACATGATTTTAGAAACTTCCTGCTGGAGCGATCTTAAAATATCTAGGAAGAATAATATCCTAAGGTAGGAACCCTGCATGTAAGCATTTGACTCATCTCCTGGAGTTTTGATTGTATCACAAAAGATTCACATCCTCCACGGGGAACAAATGCAGGAAACAGGCAACATTAAAAAAAGGCTGAATGGCAAAGGATAAAGAATTCCCTGTTTTTCCTCTCTGCAGGGTTTAGCTTTCAGATTGCCTTTCCAGTTCAGGCTGTCAAGGCAATTATTATCTTTAAGGGAGACAAATCAACTAAAGCATTTCCCTATTACAGCTACTCCAGCTCTTGTTTCATTGCCACAGGATGTTGTGGGGATGACCTCCAGTGAGATGGTCTTTTTAAAGGGTTCTTTGAAAGGAATTTATCTCTCCAGAAAAGTTCACCCACAAAGAACAAAGTCAATTGATGACATCTAAAATGTGCTAAGCCATGGTTTGCTAAGCAAGCCAAGCAGCCTGGTGTACACAATTTCAAGCCATCAACCATGGTTTTCCAAAATGTCTGGGTTAACATAATTCATTAGATCTTACTCAATAAGATATGTTACTACAAACCCTGATTAATTATTATATATAAATACATACCACATATCTGTGAAATGTTTAAAAACCTCAAGATTTACTATCAAGAGTCAGATAGGAACTGGATCTCCTTAGAATTAAATCAGGATGGTGCTGTACTATGGAATCAGTTTTGGGTACCAACTAATCTTGGGATAGTTGATGTTGTTGTTATATTTTTGCCATTTTTTTCAAAGTTTTAAAAAAATGAAGCTCATTAGATGCTATCGTTGCCTATAAGATCATTGTCTACTGATAAGAAACAATTCTGGCATCACATAGTCTTGGAAGGCTATTTCCTCATTCAAGTACCTTGGCCACTGATGTCAAAATTATTATTTTTCTACAAGTTTCTGAGAATGAATTAAAAATGGGGTGAGAGGATGAAATCCACCTATCAAAGATTATTTTTGAATGCTTTTTTTTTTTTTTGTAGTCCTAGAAGAGGAATTCCGACTTCATCCTAGTGACTTGAAGGTGACAATTGGGGAATCGTGGTTGTTGGAGTGTGTGCCTCCACTGGGACATCCTGAGCCCACCATCTCATGGAAGAAGAATGGAGTGCCCATAAGTGCAGAAAATGGCCATTATGAGGTAGCCAACTGGTACCTACCTCTTATTGTAGTCAGCATTTAGATTTAAGAAGCTTAGAGGCAGACTAACAGAATACAGAGGTGGAAGGGACCTTGGAGATCAACTAGTCCAACTCCTTGCTCAGGCAGGAATCCCTGTACCATTTCAGATAAATGGTTGCCCAATTTCTTCTTAAAAAACATCCAGTGTTGGAGCACCTACACCTTCTGGAGGCAAGTCGTTCCACTGATTAATTGTTCTAACAATTAATTAATTAATTGTTCTGACTTCCTGAAATCAATGGGACAAATTGGTAATGATTAACAGTCTCAATTACAGTAAATGTATAGAAATAAATGGGATTTAAGTGGCTGCATCGCCACCATTTACTGTATAGGTACTATAAACACAAGTTAATAAAATGCCATGACTTTTTTAATGTAATAAATGATACCCTCACAATCATAATGATGGTTTAAAGCAATAGCCTGATTCACACAACATGTTAAGACAGGGGTGTCAAACTCACAGCCCGCGGGCCGGATGCGTCACATGATGGCCACACCCATCCCCATTTTAGCAAAGGGGGAAAATGTTATGATACGTCATATGATGACGTGATGACGTGAGTTTGACACCCCTGTGTTAAGACAAAGGCAATTTTGGGAGAGGCTGCTGAGGTTACTTTGGAGATTGTGCACCCTTAACTTATAAATTGCGTTCTTCTAATTTTGAAAATATTGCTCAACATTGTTTGAAGAATAAACTTTCCTTTTCCAAGACATAAAAAAATCAGGAGATTCTTTTCTTCAACTGTCCAGTAAGGTCATTATCAACTCTAATATTCCAAATTCTCCTTCCTCCCCCCACCATGTATTTCCGCAGTTCTCAAAAGAAAAAATTCTGGTAGCCCATGCTCAGAAGAGTGATGCAGGAGCATATACCTGTCTAGCTGTCAATCAAGTAGGAGAGCAAGTGAGCAGAGCAGCCATGGTCATTGTCTTTGGTAAGAAAACCCACAACCATTAGAGGTCATCTAGGCTTTGTTTTGCACTTGAAGGGCCATTATTTAAGATAATTCGGAACAATGCACGAACATCTCCTTAAGATGGCACCTATTAAAATTGGTAACTGTCAGCCTGCCAAATTGGGATTGAGGAAACATTCTGCTTCTTCCATTGTAGAGAGGCCAACATTCACTCGGAGACCCAATGATGTTGTAGCCAGTGTTGGCAGTAGTGTTCAGTTCATTTGTGGAATCCGTGGAGACCCAAAACTTGTTGTACAGTGGTATAAAGAAGATGGAGAGCTCCCTCCAGGGAGGCAAGTATAACTTTCTAGATTCTGAAGATAAGTTCCAATTCTATTCATCTTTAGATTTGTAGGTGAGACAATGATTCTATAATCATTCTTCAGAATCCACCATCACAGCTGGATTTATTTCTCAGGCTTTTCCCTTGGGGCACCTAACTTTGTCTAATAAATTCATGGGGTAAAAAATGGTCTTAGGCAGGACTAGTCCCATTCAGTTCCTTACTGCAAATTATCATCATCCCTCAAGAAGTTTAGGGATTTTTCCTTTGCCATTTCATTCTCCCAAGAATTCTGAAAGATAAATTGGGTGGTGAGAGACATGATCCTCAAGCAAACTTCACTGGAGAGAACAGTGCTGAGTATTCATTTCATGTATGACTGCTATTTCTTCGTAAGAAGATCAGAAATATTTAAGAAGGTCAGACAAGATGGCTATTATAATAAAGAACAAACAAACGAACAAACCAAAGTTCACAGCAGCCAACATAAAAGAGTCCAGGGCTGTTTTTAACTAAATGCAAGCAGTAGGGTGTTGTATGGCTCTCCAGATTTCTTCTAAGGAAACCTAACTTCTTGACAGAAATTTTCATCAATTTATGCAAGAATGAATGAAGAATTGGAGGATCCCCACCACCACCACTTCATATCTTTAGAGCCCTGGTAGACAGTGGTTAAAAGGCTAACTTTGCCTGGAGTTTGTCTGGTGTTCAATCCTGATAGGCTCAAGGTTGACTCAGCCTTCCATCCTTTCGAGGTCAATAAAATGTGGACCCAGATTATTGGGGGCAATATGGAAATAATGATTCTACATTGTAAACCACCCAAAGAGTGCTGTTAAGTTCCAGGGGGTGATATATTAGCCTAAATGCTATTGCTAAATTGTATATCATGTATTAATATATCTTGGGAGATGTCCAGTAAAGTTTGATAGATGGCAGATTCATGGTGGACCAAATAATATTGCCATTCAATGCATTATCTATTTTTTTAAAGTATTCCTGGGAATGGGGGACTATCACACAATGTATTATTGAGTTTCTGAAAGTATTCCTAGGAAGGAGAGAAAAACCAATTCTGGCTTATTTCTTGTTATGTAAATAAGGTCCCTGTGGCCAGCTGAGAATTCTGGACCTTTCCTCACAGGTATGAAGTAGACCAAGAAAATGTCCTTCAAATTCACCATCTTACAATGTGTGATGCTGGGAAATATATCTGTGCTGCTTACAGCCATGGAGGGACCATCTTTGCCAAGGCAACTTTAACTGTGGAAGGTGAGCTCTACAAGACCATCAAGAAAAAAAAAGAAGTCCTGTGCTGACTAAATGCCAGAGTTATCCTTCACAAGCATTTACCAAAATCCACTATTTTGTTCTTAGAATAACAGCCCCCTATCCCACAAGATTATTTTTCAGCTACAATAAAAAAAGCTAACATTTTTTCCCCCAGATGAACCACTAAATGATGACTTAACTCCCCAATTAATTCCTCTAGAGCAGATATATACAGATTATTTAAGGGTGATCTGTTAAAAGCTGTGTAATGAGCATGGGGGAAGAAGAGGACAAAGAGCGTTTACAAGAGTCAGGGGTAGGGTGAGCGGGGGTGGGGATGGGGGATGAGGTTGTTAAAAGTAGGCAATGGACCATATGGAATTAGATTAAAGGCTTCATGTTGTCCTAGGCTGACTACTTTCCACTAAAATAAGGCCAGATCACATCCAAACACAAGGAAACCATTGGTATCATTCTCCATTAGAGATTCTATGGAGATTCTCAGTCATCCAGGTTATGGTTGTCCCAAATGTGATTTTTCAAAAGGCAACTGGGCTTTCTTTGTTTTTTCTTGAAGACGTTTCGCTTCTCATCCAGGAAGCTTCTTCAGTTTTGACTGAATGGTGGAGAATGGAAGGATTTATGTTTCTTGTAGTGGTCTGGTTGTTAGTACTCTCTCAATGATTCTCAGAATTGTTTTTTTTCTTCAAGGAAAAACCAAAGAAGGTCCAGTTGCCTTTTGAAAAATCACTTTGGGATGTCCTTCAAGTACTTTAAAATTGAGGTTCACACATATATTTTGGGTTTCTTTTCTGGCCTTTAGATCCACTAGATACCAGGCAGAAGGAATGGAACAGGCCAAAAGATGTTACAAAGGAACTGATGGATATCAGAATTTGCCTAGTAAATGTGACTATTGTCCCCTCTGCTCCAGCTGCCCATCTGCATTGGAAGGTGAGTTAGAAATACCAAAGGGTGACTTGAGAAGTGATAATAGATCAAAATCTAGATATTCTTGATGACGAGGAGTTATGATCTAAAATGACTTTAATTAACATACTTGTTTCTATAAATAAAGTGAACTCCAACTATTTTTAGGTTGGTGGGTTCATTTGTAAACAACAAAGTAATGGCAGGAACCAGGCGTGGTCAGAGGGTTAGAAATGAGAAGCAGAGCAATAGTTCCTACGAAGAGTGATGTAGCCCAAAGCAGGCAAATATAATAAACAAATAATTTTAAAGCAAGATCTAACAATTAGGATGCAAAAGAGAGGGGGAAGGAGGGAGAGAGATTGAGAGATGGTCTTGGATTCACAGGAATCAAGTTTCAAAAAGAATGAAATTCAGCTTGGCAAGATTTCCCCAAACGAATATATTATTCATCCACTCCAGAGACCAGTTAGATTCAAAACTGCAATAATAATTGTAATCCTAATTATGCAAATCCTCATAGCTCTTCCTTGCAATAATTCACTTTATATTCTCCATTTTACTTCCTTTTTTACAAATGTTCTTCATCACCACTTTTTATTTCAAAGGGTTTTGAATCATTTTATTTCACTTACTGCATTTTTTTTCAGCCAGGTTCTGCGTCAACAGTATTGGGCCCAAATCAAATGTGAAATTCAGAACTTTGGGCTAACATTACAAATGTTTCATAATTCAAAACTAGGGTGAAGATTCTGGGTTAGCTCCCATTTTGCTTACATTTCTTGCTTTGCCTGTACAAGCTCCCTTCCGTTCCCTTCCGTTCCCTTCCTTTCCCTTCCCTTCCCTTCCCTTCCTTCCTTCCTTCCTTCCTTCCTTCCTTCCTTCCTTCCTTCCTTCCTTCCTTCCTTCCTCCCTCCCTCCCTCCCTCCCTCCCTCCCTCCCTCCCTCCCTGGACATGGTGACTCTAAGTGGCTTACAACATTAAACAAATGTTCTTTTCATCCAGAAGGAATACACTAAAGCACATTTCCAATTACTGTATTGCTTGAAGGTCACTCCAACTTCCCAGCCCATAGAGGCTTACAAGGTATTCTATCATTCTCTGCTGCCCACAAAAGTACACTGGGCTGAATGGGATGTCCCAAGAGACCAGCAGACTATTATTCCTGGACTTGAAAGAGGTTACAAGTATGAATTCAAGGTGCGACCGTATTTGGGGAAGATCCATGGCATAGACAGCAACGTGAGGCAACTGTACATCCCAGAGGAAGGTGCAAAAACCTATCACCATGTTTTGACCAATATTGTTAATTTAATAGCTTGCAGGAAAACCTTTTTAGTTTAAAAACTGTATTTAATTTTGGAAAGAAATCAGAGCCCACATTTCAAAGCTGTGGGTCCACCTGCTTTCTTTTTCTTCTCATTTTCTTTTCTCCTGCTTTTATTTTGTTGTATTTATCTTCAGGTAGCCTTGAGTGGGATGTAGAAGAGCTAGATTTTTTGGGGGGGGGGGTTGGGTAGGAGTTTATTATTCTTACAGGGAAAAATGATCTGAAATTTCTTCACCTTTCCCTCTGGATCTATTGGAGAAGCATTGGGTGGTTGAAGAGACAAGGAGTGTCACAATAGACATGAAATAATGGATGGATGGGTCCTGTGTTCCCAAACAGCTTAAGGGGTGGGTGGTTTTGGTTCTGCTAAATATTTGCAACTAGTGTTCCAAAGGGTTTTTTTCCCCAAAAGGCAATGGGACTTACTTGTTTCTGTTCTTCCTTGAAAATGTTTCACTTCTAATTCAAGATGCTTCTTAGCTGAGAAGTGAAATGTATTCACGGGAAAAAAAAAACAACAAGAAAATTCAGCTGCCTTTCTGAATTTCCAACCAGTGCCGTCTCTTTTCCTCAGTGCCAAGTGCTGCTCCACAAATCATCAGTATCACCGTGTCCAGAGGTGGGAATAGCACTGTGATCCTTCATTGGGAGCCCCCTCCACCAGATACCCATAACGGCATCATTAAGGCTTATCAGGTATGGTGTTTAGTTATTGACTACTGAGGAGATGTGGTGGCTCAGTGGCTAAGATGCTGAGCTTGTCGATCGAAAGGTTGGCAGTTCAGTGGTTCGAATCCTTAGTGCCACCTAATGGGGTGAGCTCCTGTTACTTGTCCCAGCTTCTGCCAACCTAGCATTTCGAAAGCATGTAAAAAATGCAAGTAGAAAAATAGGAACCACCTTTGGTGGGAAGGTAACAAAGTTTTGTGTGCCCTTGGCATTGAGTCATGCCAGCCACATGACCATGGAGATGTCTTCGGACAGCGCTGGCTCTTCGGCTTTGAAACAGATGAGCACCACCCCCTAGAGTCAGGAATGCCTAGCACATATGTGCGAGGGGAACCTTTTACTGAGGAGATGTTGGAAGGATGGAAGCAACCTCAGAGATGGATGATGCAAAAGATGTTAAGGAGTGGAGGATTTGGAATCTTAACCATGAACGTCTTTATAGGAAGGAAAGCAAGACTGATTGTGTTGTTTTGTTTCTTTTTTGCTTTGTTCTGTGTAGTTATACATGTAAAGCAGGTCATATGGAGCTATGACAATTCACCACAGCCAATTTGTCATAGACAACTCATCACGGGACAACTGGCCAGAGCCAACTGACTGTGGGACAATTCACTGCGGAACAAGAGTTACACTGATATCAAAGAAATGGTGAAACAGAATCATTAAAGAAAGGATGCAAAAGGAAGGACAGAATCAGGGGTGAAATGCTCCCAGTTTGGACCAGATTACCTGATCCGGTAGCGATGGATGGGTGGTTCGGAGAACTGGTAGCAAAAATCCCTGCCCCCCCCCACCATGCCCAGCTGAACCGCACAATCATCAGAGGCTTTTTTTTACTTTTAAAAGCATTTTTTCTACAACTTCTTCTGCTGAAAAAATGCTTTTAAAAGTAAAAAAAAAGCCTCTGATGATCGCGCAGCTCAGCTGGGATCTCAGAGGCTTTTCAAAGCATTTTTTTCTGCAACCTCTTCCGGGGAAGAGGTGGTTTAAAAAATGCTTTGAAAAGGCTCTGATGATCCCAGCTGAGTTGCTTGATCTTGAGAGAGACTTTTCAAAGCATTTTTAAAAACGATCGTCACGGATCCGGAGCTTCAGTGGGCTGACTGGGGAGCTCTCGCCCTCCAAGCCTCTGGAATTATTCCAGGAGGCTTACGGGGAGCTCTACCCACACCCATCGGCTCTCCTCTCCTTCTTCTCCCAATGGAGAGGTTTTCAAGCTGCCAGACAGCTGCTTAACGCTGTCAAAGCGGCTTTTACGGGATCACGGGGCCAGCGGTCCAGAGAGACCGTCCACAACGCCGGCGGTGCCAACCGGAAGTCCTCTACAGACTTCTAAAATATTTTTTATTTATTTTAAATAATTAAATCGAATAGTTAAGTTGTCCCATGGTGAGTTGGCTGTGGCAAGTTGTCTCATTCTGATAATAACATTCCCTTTCAAGTGTTACATTTGCTTGTTATTTTAGCTTGGCATCTATTCGCTAAGCAGCTACAACAATTTCCTCACTATTTATCAGACTGAATGGAGCTGCTGGATACTTTGTTTCAGCAACTTTTGGCCTCTCAGAGATTTAAGGACCATTGTCCTTCAGTTTTGCAGAAAATAACTTGCTTTATGTGATCCAGGAGAGCTACCTTTTTCTCTTCCTTCCCCACCCCCCAGGTCTGGTTCCTTGGCAATGAAACTCATCCAGGATTTAACAGGACAGTAGATGGAGACACATATAGCCTGGAAACAATAAGACTCCCAAGTGGGCATAAATATTGTGTGAAGATAGCCGCAATCAATGGAGCAGGTGTTGGAGTAGCTAGCAATCCTGTATGTGGCACTGCAGGTCAGAAGTGGCTATTTTATCATTTCTTGAGACATAGATAACTGTATTTTGGAAATTGTTTCCTTGCACTTTTCTTATTTTACAGTAGTGTCCGTATAGTGGGGCACCCTTTGAGGACATCCTTTTGGTTGAAGAGGCTACATTTTACTTTACTTTACTTTAATTTGATTTATATACCGCCCTACTCCCGAAGGACTCAGGGCGGTGAATAGCCAACAATAAAATACATACAAAATTTAAAAAGCAGAGATAAAATTGAATTAAATAGTTTGGCCCAGATAGATTTAAAACCCCAATCAATTTAAAACAAATTTAAACTTCAAATATTAAAAATATTAAAAAATATTAAAAATGTTTAAAAAGAGGGAGAAAGTTAGGCCAGGCCCGCCTGGTGAAATAAAAAGGTCTTTAGAGCGCGGCGGAAGGTGCGCAGATCTGGGATCCTCCGTATCTCCGGGGGGAGCTCGTTCCAGTTAGTAGGTGCCCCCACAGAGAAGGCTCTCTCCCTGGGGGCTGCCAGTTGACATTGTTTGGTCGATGGCACATGGAGGAGCCCCTCTCTATGAGAGTGTACCGGCCAGTGGGAGGCTATTGGTGGTAGTAGGCGGTCCCGCAAGTACCCAGGTCGTGAGCCATGGAGCACTTTAAAGGTGGTAACCAAAACCTTGAAGCGCACCCGGAAGACCACTGGGAGCCAGTGGAGCTCGTGCAGGAGAGGTGTTACATGGGAACGCCATGTCGCTCCCATTACCACCTGCGCAGCCGCACTCTGTGCCAGTTGGAGCCTCCGGGTGCCCCATGTAGAGAGCCCCATGTAGAGAGCATTACAATAGTCCAGGCAGGAGGTGACGAGGGCATGAGTGACCATGCGTAAGGAGTCCTGATCCAGAAAGGGACGCAACTGGTGAATCAGGTGAACCTGATGAAAAATCCTCCCGGTCACGGCTGTCAAGTCCTCTTCTAAAGACAGCCGTGAATCCAGGAGGACGCCCAAGTTGCGCGCCCTCTCCGTGGGGGCCAATGATTCGCCCCCAATAGTCAGTGATGGCACCAACTGACTATATCGGGACATCGCAAACCACAGCCACTCGGTCTTGGATGGGTTGAGCCTGAGCCTATTCCTCCCTAGGATATTTTAATATCTTAGTGTAATCGCAGATGTGATGCTAATATGAAATGTGCCAGCTACAGCTAGTCCTTTACTTACAACCATTCATTTAGCAACTGTTCAAAGTTACAGCCATAAAAAAAGTGACTTACAACTTGTCCTCACACTTACACAATCATCTCAGCATCCACCTGGTCACGTTGTCAAATTTTGGGCACTTGGCAACTGACATTTATTTATGATGGTTGCAGCATCCCAGGTGTCAGTGTTCCAAGAAATGCACCCATAGAAAGCAGAACTCCGAGGCAGGTAGATTCCTCAAAGAACAATTTTATTGGATACATCATAGTGGCATAACTGGTGAAAACCGACTCTGAAACTTCCTGTGGTTTTCACCTAATTAAAAGAAAGTTTTCCCCCTTTTCCCAAGTCATCAGGCACATGATCCAATCGAGGTGCTGGCTTGATTACTTTGCTCCTCCTCTCACAGCCACCTGTTGGAATGATCTTGGTTCCCACAGGAACACTTTTTATTTTGACTGCAAAGCCCCAGCTAACTATTTCCCTCCCCCTCCCATCTAGTGGCAACCCTGAAGCAGCAAAAATGGGCCCAGCCAGGTTTGCTTCAGAGTTGACAGTAGGATCTGTGATTTCCTTCCCAGCCAGCTTTCGACAAGCAAAGACAAAGGAGGAAGCCAGATTTATGTGATAACTGCATGATTCACTTAACAACTGCAGTGATTCGCTTAACAACCATAGCAAAAAAAGTTGTAAAATTGGGCATGACTCACTTAACAACTGCCTTATTTAGCAATGGAAAGTCTGGTCCCAATTTTGGTTGTAAGTAGAGGACTTACATGTGCTTACATGTATCTTGTGCTTTAGGTGAGGATTTTTTTTACTCTGAACTTGTGAGAACATTTTATTATTATTTTTTACAAAAACTGATATTAAGCTCCTCTAATCCACTACACCGCCATTAGTTCTTCAGTGTCAACAGCGTTCCTCCATCCGTGTCAACTGCTTTCAACTGGAGTCTTTTTGCATGTATATGGGTTCATAGTTTTCAGCATGGATGTTGAGGATTCTAGAGCCTACACTTTCTTCAGGATGTGCATTCAGTGTCACACTATTCCATCACCTAAACTTATTTCATTGCAGACCCCATGGTGGAGAAGATGGCGAACAGCCCAGACTTTCTGTCAGCTAACTACATGCTGGAAGTAGTGCGTCAGCCTGTCTTCATTGCCAGCATAGGTTCGGCACTCTGGATCATGTTGATGGTGCTGGCAGTTTATGTCTGCCAGCAACAAGCCAGGCAGTTTGGTGGCAGAAGAGGGTACGCCCTTGGAGAAGGTAAGGGAGGCTGCCTTTGGCTGGGTTCAGATGACACAGTCAGGGCTCACAAAGGTCAGTCAAAAGATTTAGCATTTCCGTAGATTCCTTTGGAACCATAGAAGGGGAAAATGCCACTTAAAAGTGATAGAGGATTATCTGCAGTGGGGAGTACAAAGAAAGGATTAAATGTCCCACCAATGCCTGTTGTTTTCTCAAATTCCTTGAATAATTTAATCACTGCATAAATGCATAAATGGTGCTACTGGAGGAAATGTATGGTTGGCCTGCAGATAAAAAAATTGCTTATTCCTGAAAAAGAAGGTTTATTCAGAATAGCAGAGAGTGCTGTTGTCAGCCACGACACAAACATTGTAAAGAGACTCTTAGTAAGAACAGGGAGCCATAGCATCTTACGCTACACTTTCTTCTTTTCAGGACTGTACCGGAATGCAAGTGATGACACCATCATCAAACATAGGTGAGAGAGAGCTGGAATTGTAAGGATTCAGGATGCTTGTTTCTTTTTGAATATCTATTCTTGGGGTTAAATGTCAAAGAATGTATTATGCTATTAAGAGGGAGGGCTGGAATGAGTTATGGCTGGCCCTGTTTTGGGGAAAAGATAATGTTTTAATTCTTTTTGTTTCTGTTTTTGTAAAGTGAAATCAGTGTAAAATTATGAGAATTCACCCAAATAATATAACTAGAAAACCTTTGCCATTATCCAAAGTAACCTGAGAGTTAAAACTCTTATAGATGTCATACACTTTTATAATTTCACAGTCTCCTGGGCATAAATAAATAAATATTGCAGACATTTATGGCCAAACTACTGATGAAGACACAGTATTTAATTTAATGACTCATCTTCTTGTCAAATTTCTCCCTGGCAGGCTAGATAAGAAACAGTTAAACAAATGCACAAGAATCCAGAAACTTCTAAAAGTAGTTTTACTATTTTTAATTCATAAATGTTACTTCATAAATGTCATTATGATACTTTTAGTTCATAAATGTTACTTCATAAATGTCATTATGATAGAATTCCAGCAACTACTGCTTATCAGTAGTTGCTTGAATTCTATCATAATGGTTTCTTAGCTTTTCTGTAGTAAAACTATTTTTAGAAGTTTCTGGATTGTTGTGCATTTGTTTAACTGTTTTTTTAATTTAGCCTGCCAAGGAGAAGTTTGACAAGAGGATGGAAAGGAAAGGAAACAAATATTTATCAATGTCTGTCCTGCTTACACTAAAACTATTGTTGAATTTTTGTGTATGTTTCTTCTTCCCTGCTATTCAACATGCTGGACAGTTGTCTCTTTGGCCTGGTTTACATCTGTCTCTTATTTTGGTAACAGGATGATCTGATGTTAGGTTATTTTCCTTTGGCTGGGCAAAAAATAACTTTCAAAGCTATCATCCTGAACCATGTACATGAAGTTATATGTATTTTCCCCTTGACTACAGGGTAGACTCCAGTGATTCTCCTTGGCTTTCAAATACATGGAAATCCACATCTGGTTCCAAGAATCACAGTACCAGCAGCAGTCTCAGTAGCCAACTTCTGTGGATGGAATCCAAAGACAGCCAAGAATTCCACAAATCTAGTATACATTTTCTTCTTCTTCTTCATTCATGGCCAAGTTGAAAGTCTTGTTTCTATCTTTATTATATTGCACTACCCTTTTAATTGACCTTGTGGGTAGTTTGTGGAGATCCAGATAAAATCAAAGAATGTGCATACGAAATTCAAGAAAAGCAACATAAAGCCAGTAATAGATTTAGTGTGCAAGGCAATTACCTTTTATGTTACTTGGGTAATTCTTTAATCCCACACCCCATGCAAAAGATGTCCTGTTGAAACTGAATCTAGAACAGGGCTGGGGAGCTAAACCTTGCAGAAGCTCTGGGCTTCTTTCCAGCATGCTACCCCTATGGGCTGGATGCTGTCCATGGTATAGGAAAAGTATCTTCCTCTGTTTTTTCTTGCATAATCCCTCAAAGTGGAGGAAGGAAATCCTTTCTCCAAAAAGGAGATGGAAGAGATGGGACATGCCATTCTGTGACTCCTTTTGCACCAGCACCTTCCTATAAAAATTAATAAATTGATATATGGTTTTCAAGAAAATAAACAATATTTACATGAAGCAAATATATTTTAATGTTCTCCTCCTTCTCCTTTCTCTCTCCTCTTCTTCTTCTTCTTCTTCTTCTTCTTCTTCTTCTTTCTTCTTCTTCTTCTTCTTCTTCTTCTTCTTCTTCTTCTTCTTCTTCCTCCTCCTCCTCCTCCTCCTCCTCCTCCTCCTCCTCTTCCTCCTCCTCCTCCTCCTCTTCCTCCTGGTATCAAGGGATATACAAAGTTCTGGTTCTTGCTTTTCTGGCAGCCTCACTAATTGTTAATTGAAGTTGTTGTAGTGTTTCTTTCATGTCTCTCCATCTTCTTCTGGGTCTATCCTGTGGTCTTTGCCCTTCTTCTCTTTTTGTATAGGCCTTGTACAGTATGGATTGGGCCTTACCAATCTTGCCAATTAGTTGTTCACTACTGTAGGGATTTGACTGTAAAGTCAGAAAATCACATGCATCTCTTTTTGCCTTTGTGTCTTCATCCCCACAGCAGTGTCCTTTGATAGGCAGAGTCAAGGATCACGAATCCAGACTGTACCTTTGGTATCTGATAGCAGCAATAGTAACCCATATGGTGCTTTCTGCATGAACCTTCCAGCAAAAGATCTCAAGACCTTCTACAGTTCTTTGCCATACCTTTCCAATCCTAACCTACAAAGAATGGAGTTAACACAAGTTGGTGAGCTCATGTCTCATGGCAGCCAGAACCTGAGGACTGATCGTGCTAGTGGCCAAGGAAGAACACAACAAGGGCCATGGAAGGCAGCTGGTTCCCTCTCCCCAAATCGTACCATCAGAGGATCCTGGGCCAAATATGACAAAAAGGGTAAGGCAAAGCCCATTCCCCAAATAACTGACACGTATCTAAAGCAGTCTCTGACTATTGATAAATCTTTGTCAAAAGCTTCCTTGAAAGAAATCAAAATTGATATCCATCATTACCTCTATAAACTATAATGATAGAAGCAATATACAAATTCCACAAATGAATAAACATTTTTTAAAAAAGCAGTCCAAATCTTGCAAGTTCAGATTCAGGAGGTGATCCCAGATTCTAAAACATGTCTCTCTCCATCTTTTCATGTCATGTGGGGTTTTATATATGGTTAACGTCATTTTTAACCTAGAGACTTAATGTTACAGTATTTCCTCGTAGAAGACCTGCTGTAGCCCCAAATAAGCTTTAATGGTCTTTTTCTGTATCCTGTCAGGCTGCAATATCCTTTTTGAGGTGTAATGACCAGAAATGTCATTCCAGCTGCAATCTTATCAAAGTATTATAGAAGGTCATTGCTAGGTTAGTTCTCATCTCGATTTCCTTCTTAAGGATTTCTTGAGTGAAATGGGCCTGTTTCCCTCCCCACCAAGGCTATGCATTGGATTGTCATCTGCATTTACTTCTACACCATAGCTCCAAGATCTCTTTGGTGGCCAATCACTGTTGCCATCTTAGATTCCATTAGTATGCATGTGAAATTGAATTTTTTCCTCTCAAATGTGCGTGACTTTGCATTGCATTGTACTAATCAGCCATTTTCAATCCCTCTGGGAGCTCTTTGCACTCTTTCTCTTCTCTTTTACTGCCCCAAATAAGTTAATATCATCTGCAATTTAATTACTTGAGCTACCCAGTTCCAAACAACTGAAAACGTTTTGGTGCCAATGCAGATCTTTGTGGCAGGGATGCCCATACACTATACACCTCTCCATTGTGGAAATTGTGGAAGTCCTTATTACCTGCTTCCTGTCCTTTCACTTCTTGAACCAGTTATGTGTCTGCGAGAAGTCTTGTCCAACTCAAAAAGTCAGGGGTGCCTTCACTGATTGTTGCCTTCACCCACAAGATCATGAAAATGAATAAGGGCATCGATCTAAATATCAAGAGAATTCCTGCAGGTAGCCAGGAAATGGAAAAAACTGAGTTCTCCTTGGTTGTAGCATCTCTCCCCCCTCTTCCTCTTTGCAAGGGGACTTAATTGAATTATCTCCAAAGTTCAGGTACAGATTTAATGCCATGGCTTTTGTGGAATGTAATAGAAAGCCTCATTTGCTTGCTGCAGCTGCTAATTGCCAGGAGCGATGCAGAGCGACGCATCCACTCTGTTAAGGACACAGCAAGGGCTGAGTTACTTGGAAATTAACTTGGCAGCTCAAAGAGCATCCCTATCTGGAGAGCCTGTTATAGTTTTGGCCTTCATAGTCATCTCTACCATGTCAGAGCCTTTAGCCACCAGCTGTGGTTTTAAGAATTGAAGGAAATAAGATTTGTGTACATGTAGGACCCATAAGTGTAAATGCCTACTCAGGAACATGCATGTACTTACATGGTTGTATAGATATGATTTCTCACTTCCTATGCTTAGAATAATGCATAGTCCTTTGATGGGCTCTTGAAATGCATACCATCTGATATTTGGAAGAAATGTGTTTGTAAGGGCTGGCTAGGCTACCCATCTATTACATTTCACTGAAGGCTTTTTCACCTCATTGTGGACCATATGCAATTTGACTGAAGTAGCTCATGCTCCTCTTACTGGAAAATGTTGACTGTCACCAGATGTGGACCCCAAATCTTTCATGGGCAGCGGTTTCATCTGATCCATCAGATTTATGACTTGGAGTATCTTCCTGGACAAGTAATAACTTCAGTATCTGGATCATCCTAGCTTGACCAATGGTTGATCATTGTAACAGCATGAATTCAGGTTAATCTAACAGGCACATACTATCATGAAAATCTCTTTCTCTTTCAGAGCTTCAACAGGTACACAGCACACCCTTGTCCCCATCTGGATTCTCAGCAGATTGGAGCAACCATAGTAGCTCAAGGAGTGTTGTCAGTTCTGGAAAGCACCAAAGAGTCCATGGTAGGAGAAGAAACTTTTGCCTCAGGGTTTGGGGGAAAGACCCAATCAGTTGTAGATATTTTGTTAGACTGGAATCCACCATTTGATTTCTAAGACATTGTCATGACTTATCTGAACTGATCTCAGTAGGATAGGCCAAGCAGAGTCCTCTTCAAGCATGATATATGGGAAGAAGTAACATGAATATGATAGGGACTGAGAACAAGGCATTTAACGTGGTCCTTGGCTCATGCGATTGTTCTCTGCTGCTTAGGGGCATAATCAGGTATAATAGGCACTTAGTTCTTCCAGGTGAGATCTCTTTAAACACTTAGATCCCAACAGATGTAATCTTGGCTGGCCATGCCGAGTTTCTGTCATTTTTGTGCTCGCAGGCAATTACTTACCCCCTTTCTGTCTCCTATTTCCCTCTTTCCATCTGCTGAAAGAATGGCATCCTTTTTAATATCACAAGCCTAGCTGTGGAGACAAATAGGAAAGAAGAGAAGCAGTTAGTATTTCAGAAACCAATCTGCTCAAAGAGAAAGTTTGACATGCCCTTAATATTGTCTTCAATATTTCATTTTCACATATACCGGCTGGAAAAATGGAAAGAAATTTGTATTCTAGATGCAAGCCAGTTACTGGGGTAAAAGACTACTTTTTACATCTTGTCAGAGGGAAGCTACTCAGAGAGAAGGCCAGTGCAATGAGCCCTATTTCTGACTGGTGCAGCAGAGCCACTAACCTAGTTTTAGTTAGGGAACCAAAATAAAAACTGAAGCCCAACTATCTTTCCAAATATTTTCCCTAAATCTGGCAGTGTGGTTTTCCAGCTTAAAAGAAGAGGGTTTTTTTTTTAAAATCCCTTGATAGTGCAAGATGATGTACCACAACCTATATGTTACAACAATTAACTTTATTTCTAAGTTACCCAGTAACTGATGTTAGTTTTAACAACATTGAACAATGCTTTGTTCTAGAAATATGGGGTGTGTAATGTATGTGCGTGCATGAGTATGGGATAAGAAAATGCATATATGCATGATAGCTTGGTCTAGTGATTAAGACATCAGGCTAAATACTGGGAGAACATGAGTTCTAGTTCCACCTTAGCCATGGAAGCCAACTGGGCAATCATGGGCCAATTACCAGGAGACTGTGAGTTCTAGTCTGCCTTAGGCATGAAAGCTAGCTAGGTGACTCTGACCCAACCACCAGGAGACTGTGAGTTCTAGTCTTGCCTTAGCCAAAAAAGGCTGGCTGGGTGACCCTGGCCCAGTCACTCTCTCTCAGGCCAACTCACCTCATAGGCATATTGTTGTGGGAGTTGTAGGAGGAAGAAAGAGTGTTACATATATTCTACATCTTAAATTGTTTATTTAAAAAATACTAAAGGCAGGATATAAAAAATAAATGACTATTTTAAAATGAAGTTTAAAAAACTTTCACAGATGTCACAAACCAAATTTATGTGGGAAAAATGAAAAAAAAATTATAAGAAAAGTCATATTTGACACCCTTCTATTTTTCCTACTGTCATCCCTGGCTTTAGTGCTTTGCAATCTGATTTAAAATTCTGAAAATAAGCAAAGCTGTTAGCTAGTCCAGGTAAAGATATGGTGGTGGGATTGGTTTGGTAGACTTTAAAAATAATGTCATCTCACTTCTTGTTTTTGTAAGGGTTCTTCTTACTGGGTTCATGTCTAAGCTGTTTCCATCTCTTTCTCTATTCCAGTAGAGAGCAGCAGAGTATCACTGGATATCCAGTGAAACCTCAGAAAACCTTTTTTAAATAGGAGGGTCATCTTAGATTCAGCTGGAAATATTTTAATAGAAAAGGGATGATAGGGTCCCCCCCCTTTAATTCTTCTTTTGGAGGTGGTGGGAGGAGGGAGAAATCATTTTAAACTCAGGCTCATCAAATGCTTTTATTTATTCTGGTCCCCTGGAAGCTTTATTACCATATCACCATATGATTTTGCCTGTAGAGAAGCTGCTTTTTCTATTGTGATTTATCATCCCACAATAAATGCTGAAAAGTTGAGCATGGTAGTGGAAAAAAAAAATTAAGGACAGGAGAGCTAATCTCTGTGGTGCCTTCCTTCCTAGTGCCATAAGCTTATGTTTATTTTACTTAATGACTAATTCTGGACTGCCGCAGGCAACTTGTTTTTCCTTTGAGTCTTTGACAGCATATGTGAGACAATATGAAAGCAGTTTCTATTCTTCTACTTCATTCTCTGATTGTTTTTGTGCTACTTTTATTGTTGCAAGATGATCAAGGACTTCCTTCCTTCCTTCCTTCCTTCCTTCCTTCCTTCCTTCCTTCCTTCCTTCCTCCTTTCCTTCCTTCCACCATCCACCCATCCATCCATCCATCCATCCATCCATCCATCCATCCGCCTATAGCCTCCCATGCTGCCTTCTGCTATCTGATTGGAAAAAGTCTCCAAGAATGATGCTCATCGAATGGAAGTGTAGAAAGTCAAGATGACTGAAGAACAATAGGTAGTTAATTGTACATGACATCTACCTATATCCCTGATGAAGTTCATAAATAAGTGCCAATGTTTTGGAGGCCATCCATGAGAATCAGTTCTCCAGATGGGAAGGGAGGAAGGAAGGAAGGAAGGCTTTCTTTTTCTATCTACAGCAAAATAAAAAGATCAGGAAAGAAAAATTCCATGGAATTGTTTAATAGATCTAAATGCAAAGCTTGTATGCTTGCAAAGAATCAAGGTCTCTCCCTCTTTAATGTTTGTTGAACTCTGTTGTTTAAATACTGGCCTGATTCTCAATAGTTCAGCTTTAAAGAGCTCTAAAACTGAAGGTAAGACTATTAGATACTATTTGAACAGTGTGTTTATATAGTCTGCTCTAGTGTTAAATATATGCAACTCCTTGTGTACTTCTGTGCTTTGCTGCCATTGCTTTATTATGGGATTCTCACTGCCAGATGAGCCTTGAGCCGACAAGGTGACTCTCCAACCAAGAGGGCACTCGGAAGCCCTTTCAACTGCTTAATGAGGCACCAGCATTACTGCTGATGAGGATTTTCCTTGTAATCTATGTACAAGGCCTCCATCACACTTTTCCCAAATATCCTGTGTCCATAGATCCTCCTCAGTTACTCATGAAGTAGTGTCTGCAATGAATAGCCAATCTGGCCAAGTTGGACCTTCTAGGAGAAAAGATGTAATGGTGTGACTCACAAAAGGGCTTTACAAATGGTTGTGATGCTGGTTTGTATTATGTGTGCTGCTCTTAGAGCACTCAAATGCCCTGATGAAAGGCCAGTTTATATTTCCAGGACAATCAATCAATACAGCTTTTCTTGAAATTTACTACTTCAGATTGCAGGCAGTATGGGGTGTAATGGCTAAGATACTGGAGTGTGAGTGGAGAGACCCAGTTCGCGTCCCATCTTAGGCATGGAAGCCAACTGGGAGACTCTGGGCTAGTCACTCTCTCTCAGCCACAGACTGGAAAGTGAATATATCTGTTTGTCCATTCATCCATCCATCCATCCATGAAGAAGACAATGACAAATCCCAATTTAAGATGCATTTAAGGGTAAGATCAAAAGAATAATTATGTGATAAAATGAGTGGTTCATAAATCAAGAAGAATTATAGAACCTGCAGAATTGTGTTGAAAAGCTAAAAGAAAGCTGGTGAACCCTCCCCAGATGCACCTTAGGGCCATTACAAAAAGGGTGACCCACTCTTTTACTGACCCACCAATGCAATGAGCAGATTAAAAAGGTCTCTGTTGATAAATTCCAAGGGCAGCCAGCAAGAGAGGAAATTGCTTCTTTGAGTAATCTGGTGTCAAATCAAAAACTCAGCCAGAAGCAGAAGAATGAACCAAATCACTACTTTAATACTAGATGCTCTCCTGAAAGACTAGCTTCACACACACCATTTAACATATTTTAAATTTTATTTCCTTCTGCTGATAAGCAAGCTAAGAAAATGTCTCAGGCTTGTATTCACAAATTTATTTCCTTAGAAGATCTATAAGACTATTTTTTCTTGGGAAAGAACACTCAAGAGGACAAGAGGATAGAGTCCATAGTTTGGGAAAGCCACTGGTGAAGATCTTCTTCTGCATTATCTTCCGCAGATGATACAAATTAGCCTGTGACCAGGAGGACACCATCAGAGGGACCTCTGCATATCTAAATGGCCAGTCAGGTTCATAATAAGAGAGGCAATCTCTTAGATAGTTGGCCATCGAGTCGTTTAGACTTCAAAGATTAATACTGGATTGAATAATGCTTTGGAAGAACTGATAAAGTTGTGGAAATCTTTCATTGTGGCATGCAGGATCCCATATCTTGCATATCTTGCTAGCAGCTAGCTGCTATGTCTTTCATCACTTAAAATCCCTGACATTTTTCAAAGGGAGAAAATGTTTTATTTATTTATTAAATCTGAAAACTGCCCATCTCACTCTCAAGAGCATCTGTTGCCATCATAATTGCAGAAGATCAGTTTCCAGAATCATTTCAACCTCCCTATACTGTTTAGTTTATGGAGTCCTCCATGAGTAAATTTCTCTTTCACCTTGATCTATTTAATTTTGCTCTTTATGATTGCAGTTGTCCAGGTTGTATTTTGTTTTTATTGCTGCTTTTTTTTTTTTTTTACATTTATAAACTGGGGCAAATCACTGCTAGAGAACCCAAGAGAAGTCCCAAATTCAGTCTGCTTCTTTAGGAACTACTGAAAAAGCTCCAGTCTGAATTTTTGGAGGACAGCTAACTGTGTGAACAAGTGTTGAGCCTAGAGGGTCTCCAATTCTTAAAGTATGCTCCAAACTCCTCGAACATGGATGGAGAACATAGCCAGACATTGTCATTGGTGCAGGATTCTATTGTCAATCTGCTTCTTTCTTGTCCAGCAAAACTGACAGGGCTTTCCCATGACCTTGTCTGTTTAAGTGGCCAATAGAAAGATAGGTAAAGAAGACAGCAGCAATTAACACCAATTTGAGACTTACTCAGGGGACTGTATCAGGGTGTTGCACGTGGGCTGGGCAGGTAATGAAGCATCTGGGGTCAGCATCTGGTGTAGAATAGCCAAGGGAATATCTCCTCCTGGTGCCTTCTAAAACAGGGATAACAGAACATGGAAATGGTGGCAACACACCTTAAATGACGTGTAGGAGTGCTAATTAAAGCAGTTTAAAAATGCATGTGTGATTTCAGCCTAAATGTCACAAGCAAAGAAAATCTTCCCAAGGCACGACTCACATTCTTTCCTTATGCTTCCTTCGATTTAAAACTGGTTTGGCACCAGTTACTTGCTGAAGTCCAGAGCTGAACACATAATACACAGACCTGATTTGTGACAGGTCTGGTCTGAGGGGAGAGTCCTCTGGCTTAAAAAATCAAGGAAGGTACTGTATCTGATTTAGCAAACAAGCAAGCAATGACAGATAAGTTATAGCCCATACTATGTTACAGACTCTATTTCTTGAACCTCTATGGGCATCTCCTCTAGATCTACAGAAGACACCTAATTGTAGAAACCAGTTTGTGAGAAATGCTGTAAAGCAGTGGTTCTCAACCTTCCTAATGCCACGACCCTTTAATACAGTTCCTCATGTTATGGTGACTCCCAACCATAAAATTATTCCTAAAACTATTGAAAATATGTGTTTTCCGATGGTCTTAGGTGACCCCTGGGAAAGGGTCATTTGACCCTCAAAGGGCTCGCGACCCACAGGTTGAAAACCACTGCTGTAAAGTGTTATGGCTTTAATCTTTTCCCCATAACTGCAGGAAACTATATGCCTATCAGTTTGTCCAAGACTCGGTTGGCATTTATTTCGACCTTTCCTCTTCTTTCTTTGATGGACTCATAAGGTGTATCCTAATCTGGATTGGATCCACCCACCCAGAGAGGCTTTGGATGGCTATTTAATGAGCTTTTCAGGGGAAACATGTTTGCAGTTTTAAATTGGCTCATCTCTCGTTTACTGGAGATGGGAAGGAAGCAAACCAATTCATGTGCTTATCCAATGATTGTGTGTGTCTGTGTTTGTGTATTTCCCAACTTGTTGTTATTATTGTGTTTGGTCCTGTATTGTTATTCCTTTTCAAAACTCTTTTAAGCCATTGTGCACTGCTCAATGATTTTGATCATTTTGGTAAGGTGCATTATACATAGATACACGTATAATAGTAATAGTAATAATTTAAAGGGACTAAACTGTAAGGATTTATTTTGATTTGGATGTCAACAAGGGAGCTAATTGTTTGAGCCAGTTGTCCAATATGGATGAAGCGAGGATGGTGGAAAAATTGCCATTTGTTAACCTTTTCTCTCTCTTTATGTTCCTTCTTAGGGAGGACAAAAAAGGTGCTAAAAACTTACAGCTCCTCCAAGTTCTCACTGTGCAGTTCACAAAATGGCTCTTCACTGCCACCACCTCCTCCTATTCCACCTGGTTTTCAAGCTCTCCGAGATTCCAACACCAAGCAAGAGTAAGATGGGATCTGAATATTTTGCTTGTTTATCTTAATCTCAGAGCCTCTTTCTGCAACCCTCTTTCTACCTGGTACATAAGATTAAGAGGATGTAAACCTCAGAGATGCTGGATTATTTGAGACTGAAGCAGTATAGAACTCATAGCAATTATACATAGCAAAAATACTCCGAGACAGGATCCTAAATATTATTGATTGCATTTTTAAACCAAGTACCAAAATTAAAATTAAAAAAACACCTTGAATTCAATTAAGATGGAATAGAAATGAATATATGTAGATCAAGATTAAATTATGGAATATTTGGTGGTCTCTAAAGTTGGTGGTTTGCTTGCAGATGTTTCATTACCTGACTAGGAAGCATCATCAGTGCTAGTGAGTGTGGGGTTAGCTCCTTGCATATACAGTGGCTTGCCCTGCCAGTGTTGTTGAAGGTGTGGTTTTCTCCTTGGTAAAGAGGAGGAGCTAACCAAGAAGAAACCCACATCCCCACCAACATTGGCAATGCAAGCTACTGTACATACAGGGAGCAAACCCCACATTCACTAGCACTGATGATATTCCCTAGTTTGGTAATGAAATATCTACATGCAAACAAACAAGCTCTGAGCAGGGGGATGGACTAGAACCGTGATGGTGAACCTATGGCACGGGTGCCACGGAGCCATATCAGTGGGCACGCGAGCATTGCCGTAGCTCAGCTCCAGCGCGCATGTGTGCACTGGCCAGCAGATTTTTGGGCCTTCCGGTCCCACTGGAAGTTGGGAAATGAGCTGCTTCCCAACTCCGGGGGGCCTCTGGGGTGGGTGGGGAAGGCCGTTTTTGCCCTCCCCAGGCTCCTAGAAAGCCTCTAGAGCCTGGGGAGGGTGAAAAACGGGCCTACCGGGCTCACTGTGCCATCACGTGTTAAAAGCGGGGGGAGGTGTGCACACATGTGTGGGGCGCATTGAATTATGGGTGTGAGCATGCACGTGGGTGACCTCTCCGCTTTTGGCACATGACGGCAAAAAGGTTAGCCATCACTGGACTAAAAGAACTCCAACTCTGTTATTTTGTTAATAACACTGTTAAATGGCACTAAGAAGACATCATTTTTAAAACACTTTCAGGAAAGCACGATCAGGAACATGGAGCTTCTCCCCCTCCCCTTCCTTCTCCTAACAAGCCGTTTGGCTGCAGCACCTCCCCCCAACCCTCACCTGCGATCGATCGCACCATGGCTTCTGGCTGCCAGCATTAGCAACTAGCTGATTGGCTGGTGGCTAACTGACCTGGCTGGCCAAAAAGCTGGGACGAACACTGTGTCATCAAATGGGCCACGCCGAAGCATGTGGGACAGAGGGGCCATGGCCCAGTGGCCAGGGCGAACAACAAACTTTTTGAACAGGGGGCCAATTCCTCAGTCCCTCAGATTGTTGGGGGGCCAGACTGGCTGAGTGGGTGTGGCTAGGTGGTCATGTGACTGGGTGGGCATGGCCAATTTAGCAGTCCATTTTGCCTTTGTCCTTGCTGTACTTGCTCAACCCAAGAAATCTATTTACTTAAGACCCCCCCCAAAGGGAAAAAGGAGGGCGGCATATAAATCAAATTAAAAAAAAAAAAAGAGTGCAAACTTTCTTGCCACTTGCCTAACTTCATTACAACAGCAGCTTCAGGCTTCTTAAAATAGGCCATTAAAAAAAAGAATAAAACAAACAGTATTTCCTTCAAAATAACTCCTGATCATATGTTTCAGATGACCTGTGAGTGCCTGCCAGCAAGGGAGGCAGCCAGGGAAGGGATAGGAGATCAGCCTCCTTTTTTGAATTATTTGGGATTACAGGGCAGAGTCTTTTAAACCTGGAGGAGAATTCAGAAATTGATTTGCTTTTTGCCACACTTGTGCATGTGTATACACACACATGAATATCTACCAAAATTGTTCAGCAACCAATTTGGTGGATGTACTTTATATATGGCAAGAATCAAAGCAGTGGGTGAAATCTCCTTCAGGCATTATACTGAAGTTGCATTTGAATTAGTGTTAGCCAACTTCAGCTGATTTTGAAAAAGCTAGGAGACATGGAGACATGTCCCCCACCCATCCACCCACTTTTAAAGGGCTACTTTAAAAGCAGCCCCTCCCCTACTCAACCCACTGGCCCTGGATCACGTGGATGTGAAAAACACCCTGAAAGGCTGTTTTAAAAGATTTTTAAAACACTACTTTACAAGTTGGAAGCTGCTTTTCAAACCAGCAGCAACCCCTCCCCTATTGCCCCCTCCATCATGTGGAAAAACACCCTGAAAGGCTGTTATAAAAGCATTTTTAAAACATTTTAAAGACTTTTAAAGCACTACTTTACATGCTGGCAGCTGCTTTTCAAGCTGGCAGCAACCTCTTCCCTACTTACTCCACCCTTGATCACGTGGCTGCACTGGCGAGATCATCCCTCAGTCAGCTGGCTCTCCCCCCACACCCTTCAGCCTTACCTTCGACAGCAGCATGTGATCAGTAGTGCAGCTCAACCGGTAAAATAACTAACCAAAAGTGCAGCTGGAGTGGATGATCAGTGGAAGATAAGGCCGATGATGAGGGTTGGGTGAGGGGCGGGGCTGAATCCCACCACTCCGCGGGCCGGATAGTTTGCATTGGCGGGCCGTATCCGGCCCACGGGCCGTAGTTTGAGGATGCCTGAACTAGGGGCATGCCAGCTGAGGAGAAAAGCTAGAGGTGAATATGTGGAGGCAGAACCCTGGTGGAGAAACAGGCGCAACCAAGGGTAGGAGCCGAAAAGTCCTAGATCCGACTAGACGAACTTCAACTCTATTATTTTGTTAATAACTCTGTTAAAGGGCACTAAGAAGACATCATTTTAAAAACACTTTCCCTCCCAGTCAGTTAGGCTAACAACTGATGACCCAATACTTCAATTGTTTTGCTCATGATACTTAAAGAAAGCTCAGATGAGAATTAACAAGATGGTGGTTGGCTTGCAACCCCTTGCAGAACAGGATTTCTTCTGCTTCTCCTCTAACTTTTGATAGAGAGCCACCTTGCAGAAAACTCAGAGTTCACCCTATGCTGACTCATTTTCTGGTTGTGCCAGATAGTAGAATAAATTGCTTGCTCCTTCCTCTAGCACCAAGTAGGGAAATCTACATACTTTGCATATTATTCAGAGGCACCCTTATGATGGATCATCAGGATGGCAGGAACAAATGTGGCTGGGAAATGAATCCCAACTATCCTGTCTCCCTATTTTGCACTTAAAAAGCTACAAATCATGGGATGATTCTGTGCCTGGCTAGAAGGGACCATTTCTCATTGAATGGGGCAGGCCTCTGTACAAGTGCCCAGCTATTTAAGTAAATGGGCAATTATCATTCCAGGCAAGTAAATCAATCCATTAGTGAAATATCAGCTGACTCCATCCTTTTTTGCTGCCCCTTTGAATCCCACATTTATGTAGAGAAAAACATTGTCCTTGGATCTTGTATGAAATAATTTTGGTGTCATTCTAAATTTATGGGCAATTACACAATAATTGACTGCTCTATTGAAAATTCATTTGGTTGCAAAGGAGAGCAGAGTAGAATTTGTGTAAGAGGAGTGGCTGAAATACATTTCCCAAGGTTTCTCCTTTCTTTGACAACAGGCTCCTGTGCATGTCCCAAACTTTTCTTTCTGGTCCTGGAGAAGAAAAGCTTGGCATGTCCACCCACTTCAGATGATCCCAAGATTACAGATACACTCAAATAAGAGGAAAAGGAGCAGATCTCATTTCACATAAAACACTTGCTTCTTTTGTTCAGCAGGCAAAATACGTTTGCTTGCCAAAAGGGCTGCTTGAACATGGAGCTAAACTCTGAGCTCATGGATGAATCTCAATGTCTATACATCTGATTAGGATTAGATAGGTTAAACAGAGTAAATTTACATGATTCTACATCTTGCTTCTCTATTTACAAGGCATGATATCTGTCTTACATGTGTAAATTCTGTGATGGCCATTTCTTTCTTTCTTTCTTTCTTTCTTTCTTTCTTTCTTTCTTTCTTTCTTTCTTTCTTTCTTTCTTTCTTTCTTTCTTTCCTCCTCCTTCTCCTCCTCCCTCCCTCCCTCCTCCACCTTCTCCCCATTCTTGAACTCAATTTTTCTCCCCCTGCAATAGATTTGGGGCCACATTAATCAATCACGAGAGTTATTGTGCTGATAAATAGATGGAGAAATGGACAGAATCCTGAACCTCTTTACATAGTTTATTTTCATCACTTAAACATATTCATGTAATTACCAAGAGTCCAGCTCAATTCATAGGAAGCTTCATCTACTGTACTTTTAACTGCAACACATAGACACATAAACCCACAGCAGCTGTATGGTGGCTGGAATGGGAGGTTCAGAAGGGACCCTCCTCCTTCGTTTATCAGTATGTAAAGGAGACAGTAGAAGACTTGTACTTTCAGACTTGCAAAATTCTGTTAACATAATTTTAGAATAAAGTTATCACACCTAAAGACAACAGTGAAATCCTATCAACTCCAATCTTTTATTAGTCTCCTTCTAAATGGCAGAATTTTGCCAAACTAAAGTTATGACTTTCTACCCTAATACATATTATTAGGGTGGATGGACTAGAAGACCTCCAAGGTTCCTTTCAACTCTGTTATTCTGTTATAAAATAGATTGAATGATGGGATTTCCTTTTTTGACTTTTTTTCTACTCACTAACACATAATCTTAGGAATTTGGGTAGCACTGGATATAAGAACTTAAAAACTAAACTTCTAATATAAAGAAACGGTACATGAACTGAAATATCACCACCCATTTTGATTGCTTCTCTCTCTAAAACTGTCTAGAAGATGTTTAGAAGGGAACATACTGCTGCCTCTTAATGACTCTGCTCTATTTCCCTTTGGTTTTCTGACACTGCAGTGTTTTTTTAGCAGAGAGGAAATGCAGTTATTTAATTTTATTTATTGATTTAAAAATCTTTCTAAGTCACTTATGGTTAGAATAAATCCTTTCTGATGTACCAAGTAAAAATATAAAACATGTTAAGCCATTACATTAAATCCAATAGAAGCATCCATATAATGTTGCTAAACTCAAGACAAGCAACAAATATCCAGGGATGGGCTTGAGCAGAGAGAGATGTCTTAAGGACAAAGCAGACTCATTTTAATTTCCTCCAAGAATTGTCTTGTTGAGTGGATATCTGTGTGATGTCCCTTGGAATGTAAGCTGGCAGCTGTAGCTGAAATTTGAGTGGGTGTTGTGCTGTCTAGCGTGCCTGCTCAACTAAGTGGTGTATTTGTTTTGTTTTGTTAGAACAAGTGGATGACTTCTAGATAATAACAGCAGCCTGGTAGTGTCTGTGCTGCCTGAATGATCTTCACTATCTCTGCCCATTATTATGGGAGCTAGCAAGATGTTGACTTTAAAACTAACCAAGGAGAGAACCAAGCTACAACTAAGGAGAAATTTCCTGACAGTTAGAGCAATTAATCAGTGGAACAACTTGCCTCCAGAAGTTGTGAATGCTCCAACACTGAAAGTTTTTAAGAAAGATTGGACAACCATTTGTCTGAAATGGTATAGGGCCGTGTTGGCGAACCTATGCACGCGTGCCAGAGGTGGCACCCAGCACCCTCTCTGTGGGCACATGAGCCGTCGCCCCAGTTCAGCTCCGCCGTGCATGTGCGCCTCCCGCCGGTCAGCTCTTCAGGTCTCTGCCACACATGCATGGAGGGCAGGGGGCATGCAGCGAGCTGGGCACCGGGGAACCACATGCGCATGTGTGAGGGGCGGGGCACCAAGGGGATCACGCATGCATGCATGGGGGAAGGGTGTGTGTGAGAAGCTGTGCACGCATGGGGTTGTGTGCATGCGTAGGGGCAGGGCACATGCGGGTGCCCATGCGCTTTTGGCACTTGGTCCGGAAAAGGTTAGCTATCACTGGTATAGGGTTTCCTGCCTGAGCAGGGGACTGGACTAGAAGACCTCCAAGGTCCCTTCCAACTCTGTTATTCTATTCTATTCTATTCTATTCTATTCTATTCTATTCTATTCTATTCTATTCTATTCTATTCTATTCTATTCTATTCTATTTTTTTATTTTTTATTTGATTTATATGCCGCCCTTCTCCGGAGACTCAGGGCGGCTTACAATGCGTTAAGCAATAGCCTTCATACTTTTGTATATTTATACAAAGTCAGCTTATTGCCCCCACAAACTGGGTCCTCATTTAACCTACCTTAGAAAGGATGGAAGGCTGAGTCAACCTTGAGCCTGGTAAGATTTGAACCTGCAGAAATTGCAGGCAGCTGTGTTAATTACAGGGTGCATTAAACCACTGTACTACCAAGGCTCCTATTCTTCTGAGATCTATTCCTAACAATATAAATGAAACACATACATGAATAAGTATCATTTTCAGTTCTTTGAGAATAACAGTAGCAACACCTGGAAGCTTTTATCGGACACTGAACTGAAGTTCACACAGGAATGCTATTTTTAAGGTGCTTGTTTCAGGTTTGTGTAAAGCGACAGGCACAATGTACTGACATGCAAGTGACAATGGCTGTTGCTAACTTTGCCTGCTCTTTGGGGGTAGGGAGAGATAGAGAGGAAGGCTGAAGGAGAGCTTTGCAAATGATGGTGCAGCTCTTGACATGGAAATGGGTATGCTTCCGGTTCTGAAATCACTCACAGCTTCTGGCAGACTTGTAAAAGGGAGATATTCAGTTCAGGAAATCTGCTAGAAAGATGTAATTGGGCCAAGGAGGTGAGAATGGTAGGCTGGGTTCACTGTCAGGGGCTTGCTACCTAGCTTGATCTGCTGGGGTGGAGAAAGGAGACACTGCGGATTTTACCCCACTAGTCATTGCTGATTCTAGGGGACAGAGCTCATCTCTGTTTCATTCTCCGTTGAGCCAGCGCTGTCCAAAGACATTTCTGCAATCATGTGGCCAGCATGACATCATGGAGCTCTGTTACCTTCCCATCAAAGTGGTACCTATTTATCTACTCACATTTGTATGATTTCAAACTTCTAGGTTGGCAGAATCTGGGGCAAGTAACGGGAGCTCGCCCCATCATGAGCAGTGGTGGGTTTCAAAAATTTTTGATACCGGTTTGGTGGATGTGGCTAGGTGGGGGGCATGGCCAACTTGATGTCACTCATACCTATGCCCACTCACATGACCCCTCCACCTAGCCACGCCCACAGGAAAAGGTAGGAATTTTTTTGGAATTTCCACCTATCTACCCCTACCCTCCCTTTGCCAGTTGCCTCCGTTTCCTCTCCTTTGGCGGCCCCGGACCTAGCCCACTTCCTCCCCCACCACCACCACTTATCAGGCTGCTTATCTTCTGTGGCGGCTGGTCCAGAGTCCAGAAGGCAAGCTGAGCGGAGTTTTCAGTGACCCGCAGCCAGCCGCTGCTGCTGGACAGCAGCTGGCAAAGAAGCCTCCCAGCTGCTGCCTCTTTGAGAGCCACTTTGTAGCTGCGGTGGCTGGCCACAGGCCCCCGAAAAGTACCAGAGGTTGCGGAAAAAGCTGCTGCCGTCGCCGCTATGTTCTTCGCACATGCGCATCCCATTGGACTTGCAAGGCAATGAGATGCATGTGCACGAAGAACATGGCAGCGCCAAACATGGTGGGCAGGGCATGGCCAGCCAGCCATCGCTACCGGTTCAGCGACCTTGGCCAAATTTCCGCCAACGGTTTGCACAAACTGGTGCGAACCGGCTGAATACCACCTCTGGTCATGTGGTGCTCAGGTCTCAAACCTGGGCAGTTGACTTTCCAGCTGACAAAACAAGCATCTTAACCACTGAGCCCTTGTGCTTCCCCTGAAAACAAGAAAAGGGGTGGATTCCCCCCCCCACATTTCTAAGTTCTGATGGCATGGAATCAGGAGAGGCAAATGGAACTCTTGGATGCCAGCAGCATCTCTCTTGGGCCTCCCAGGTTCCTTACTTGCTAGCCTGAAACATTGCCCTCATTTCCAAGAATGTTCTTGGTCCCCTTGCTGGATGTATAGAAAGCAAAAATGGTGGAAATGATAGTCTACCCAGGGATTTATCTGCAAATCTCTCTACTTGTCTAACAAAAAAGAGAAGATTAAGTTGTGTAGTGAGGCACGAAGATTTTTCTTTCTGGAAAGAAGCATTAGGCACATTCTAACCAGTCTATCTCCTGGTACAAAGTTCAAAGTTCAGTAATAAGAGTTTATGGGGCAACAGGCATAAATGGTACATGGGGTCTTTCCTAATAGGCCATGTTCACCATAGCAATAGCATTAAGGCTTATATAACTGCTCCATAGAGTTTTATAGCACTTTGGGTGGTTTACAATGTCAAAGCACTATTTGCATATTGCCTCCAACAATCTGGGTCCACATTTTAATGACCTCAGAAGCATCCTTCTGAGTAACCTTGAGCCCTGTCAGGATCCAGGATCCAGGCTATGAGAAGAGTTTGCCTGCAATACTGCACTTGTGTCACCAGAGCTCTTGTGTACCAACTCCCCACTTGATAGCCATTTTGTGAGAGTGCTTAACAATCTGCAGCTGACATTCCAGTTGCAGCCACCAAACAACAATTGCTGGGGAAGGGAATTGATCTTCAAGGGTTTTTTAGGTACTGAAACCAGAGGATTGCGATTAGAAAATTGAAGTCAGCAATATCCTTTTTGTTTCCCCCAAAGACTCAGATGCTCATAAGTGAGAGGACCTGAAGGAGTCTGAACTCTAAGATGCTAGATCAGCCTTCTCTGGTACCCTCCAATTTTGAAATCAAGACCACAAACCCTACGATTCCCACTCACATGCACCAAAACGTGTATGTACACTCCTCAAAACAAAATTAGCTAAAAGCATAGAGAAATGGCCTCTTTTCTCAGATTTTGAGTTGTTCTTTTGTCATTTTTTAAAAGAGAGAAATTATTTGCCAGTCATTTACTATCTGTACTTGTTGCCTGTTTCTCAGGTGCTCCTGTACATGCTATCTTGATCCCCCAGAGGACTTCATGAACCAGCAGATGGACAAGGATTCTCTAAAGACGGTCATAGAGTCTCTGGATGAAAACCAGTCCTTCCCCACCTTGCCTTACAACCAGCTTTCCTCAGCTTCAGTTCCTGTATCTCTCAGCGATGACCAGGAGACAGTTCTCACCCCAGAAGAGGTGGCAGAATACCTAGAACTCAGCACAGAAACTGATTGTCAAAGGTAAACATCTACCAAACATCAAAGTTCATTAAGAAGAGTTTATGTGAGGACAGGCATAAATAGTCCAGAATAGGGCAACTTTGTGAAGCCAACTCACCATGGCCAACTCTCCATGGCCAACTCACGGCAGGAGAATTTGTGGCTGGCCAATTCAACAATTCAATTTAAATATTTAAAATAATTTTTAAAATATTTTAATTTTTTTCATTCACCTTTCATTTTGACCCTCCTTTTGTATCCTTTAATTATTCTATTCCACCATTTCTTTGATATTAGTGTCCTGTCCTTGTCCTGTGTTGGCCATGGTGAGTTATCCCACAGTGACTTGGCTGCAGTGAGTTGGCCATGGCAAGTTGGCCACACTGAGTTGGCTACGGCAAGTTGGCAATGCTGAATTGTCCTACACCCTAAACAGTTTACCCCTTGGATAAACTGTCCCTCATTGCGTTGAGAAACATAGAGTTTGACATATCTTTCAGATTTAGTATTCCCTTCATGTCCTCTTCAACTAATCCTATTTTTGCTTCAAGAGCTTCATTTTTAAATGAGTGCACATAAGATGGCATATGGCAGATTTATTTTAATGTATTATTTTGTCCAATATGTTCTCTTTTTTTTGCATGCTATACATTTTAAGGTTATTTTTAATTCCCAGTTACGTGCCTACATGCAGATTCCATCTAATATGTGTATTTATAGTAGGAAAAAAAGGAGATCATTGGAAACAATGAGAATATTAAAATTGAAACTTGATTATTCTTTAAAATTCCCAACACAAAGTTGCAGTTGAGTCAAGCTCTCCCTGGTAAGCTGGATGGGAAGAAATAAAAGGATTTATTGTAGAAAAGTAAAGAAGCCATTATAAACATTTCTCCTACTCATGATTAAAACCAACTCTAGGACAGACAATTTTCATCTATTCTTTGTTTTGTGAATAGCCAGATAACTACCAGATCTGGTTATCATGTTGTTTATTCTTGACCATGTGAGAACTAGCCGTCACTGGTGGTTTTATGGGCACATTCTGGCCTACAACACTGAGATTTCTTGTTGATCTCTCATCTATGTATATCAGGTCAGGTCCACTTTTCTGAGATCAGCCTACATCAATGATATGCTGTCAACCAAAAGTACACATATAGACTGAGTGAAACCAGGCTTAATAGCAGTAATTTGTGAGAGGGATCTTAGACAGTGAGAACAATCAACCAGTGGAACAGCTTGCCTTCCATTGAAGTTGTGGGAACCTCAGCACTGGAAACTTTCAAGAAGAGACTGGACTGCCATCTGTTAGAAATGGTGTAGGGTCTGCTTGGGCATGGGGTTGGACTAGATGACCTACACTGTTAATCTGTAATCAGTAATCCAGCTCAGCATAACATTCATGCAGCAATCTTGCAAAATACAAATAAACTGAAAGAAAAATTAATAGTCCAGAGTCATCCTAGGAATGAGCATGAATTGACTCAAGATCTACAGTAGGTGCACTAATCCTTAATATCCATTGCCCATGTCCAAATCAAGGAGGTTTCCTTGGACTAGTTATGGTAAAAAAGAATGGAGCTGTACAGCAGAAAACACTTTTGCTCTCATTTCCATATTCATAACAAAGGAATGCAGAAGTGATCACTGGTGCATCTGGCCTTGTGGCTTCAGGATTATCTGTGAATATTGACCACATCCCAGTCTGATTCTATGCCTCTTTCTCTTCACCTTGTATGTCTATGGAGATTTTCAGTCATCCAGATCACGGCTATAAATATGAATGTTTACAACACAGTCCTTTTAGCAGTTCCAAGAAGGTTCCACGCCCATTTGCACTATTCAGGGCACTATTCCTGAGGACACAAATAAACCTTCAAGGACTCTCAGAAAGAGTGCCAATGACCAGATTACTGCAAGGGATATAAATCCTTCCATTCTTCACTATTCAGTCAGAACTGAAGAAGCTTCTTGGATGAGAAGTGAAATGTTTTCAAGCAAAAACAAAGTCCAATTGCCTTTTGAAAAAACACTTTTGGGATTTTGTCTTGTAGACAGGCAAGATTCAATGGAGATACAAAGACCTGGACTTAAGGAAACTGCACATAAAGCTCCAGCTTCAGCCTGCCAACTGCTAAAACAAATATCCCATTAACTGCTGCTTTGGTGGTTTGAGGACAGCTTGTCCCATAAGGCTGACTCCTTACACTTTGGTAACTGGGGCTGGGACATGAAGTAGCAGATTTTATGGGAAGCACAGTGACTCCACTGAGATAATTACAGCTCTTCTTAAAGACTAGGCGGGCTAACCGGCAGCCAACTCAATGTTTTCAGCAATGTTTAACAACCTTCCACCGGTTCTGGGTGCCAGTGACATCACCTTCCAGTTCCAAGCCACATCTCCTCTTCAGGCACTGAAAAATGTACTAGTATACTTCCTTTGTGACTGAAGTGGCAGGGTTATTTTAGTTTTGACAAATGTAAAACTCTACCTTCGGCAGGGAGAAACTAAGTGATTTCTGTGAGGAAAAAAAAAGTATTTGTAGCCTAAGCATTCAAAAGCTATGCAGATGCCTAACTTAACTTTATTGCAAAACACACATTTTGGTTAACAGAACTACAGTTACTAGAAGACTTACTGTTAGTTATTGTCTTTGTGACCTCCCACTCCATCTCCTATCCATAGAACAGTGTTTTTCAATCTTGGCAATGTTAAGAAGTGTGGACTTCAACTGCCAGAATTCCCCAGCCAAAGCATGCTGGGACTTGAAGTCCACACCTCTTCAAGTTAGAATAGAATAGAATAGAATTCTTTATTGGCCAAGAGTGATTGGACACACAAGGAATTTGTCTTGGTGCATACACTCTCAGACTCCCTAAAAGAAAAGATACATTCATCAAAAATTATAAGGTACAACACTTAAAGCTAGTCATAGGGAAACAGTCAATATAAATCTTAAGGATACTAGCAACAAGGTTACAGTCATACAGTCATAAGTGGGAGGAGATGGGTGATAGGAACGATGAGAAGATTAATGGTAATGCAGACTTAGTAACTAGTTTGACAGTGTTGAGGGAATTATTTGTTTAGCAGAGTGATGGCGTTTGGGAAAAACTGTTCTTGTGTCTAGTTGGGTAGGAGTTGAAACAGTTTATGTCCAGGATGCGAGGGGTCTGTAAATATTTTCACAGCCTTCTTTTTGAGTCATGCAGTATACAGGTCCTCCATGGAAGGCAGGTTGATAGTAATTGTTTTTTCTGCAGTTCTAATTATCCTCTGAAGTCTGTCTCTGTCTTGTTGGGTTGCAGAACCAAACCAGACAGTTATAGAAGTGCAGATGACAGACTCAATAATTCCTCTGTAGAACTGGATCAGCAGCTCTTTGGGCAGTTTGAGCTTTCTGAGTTGGCACAGAAAGAACATTCTTTGTTGTGCTTTTTTGATCACGTTTTTGACATTGGGTGTCCATTTTAGATCATGAGATATGATAGAACCTAGAAATTTGAAGGTCTCTAAATTTGAAGTTGCCATGGTTCAGAAACACTGCCATGGAGTTTTACATTCCTTCTAAACAGTTTTAGGAAATGGGCTGCTTTAATTAATTTCTCATGGATGATGGAAACTTCAGAGATAATCTTTGGACTCATCTGACTGCTTATGAATGTACAAGGTGAAGCAGATACCACCATCTGAAAGCATCCATGTAAGTAGGCAGAACTGGATTTAGAAATAACACAGTTCTGAAATCCAAACAATTATGAAGCCAGAGTTGGTTAGAGTTCTTGTACTAACTGTTCTTTCTACATGTGTACAATCCATTTGGAATAGAAGTTCCAGAGCACTTACAAAAAAGAGGGGTACTTGATCAACCATTCTCAGAACTCTTTTTACCTTAAATTACCTTACTACATTATAATCTAGTTCAGGGGTGTCAAACTCAAGTTCATCGAGGGCCGCATCAGGGTTGTGTTTGACCTGCGGGGGTGGGGTGGGGGTGGGTGGCCAGGGGTGTGTATCCAGCTTGATGTCACTGGTGTCGGAGGTGCCTGTGGCCCAAGCGCTCTGCCACTAAAAACAGGCTCCCGAGCTCTGTTTTTGGCCGTGATGGCCTCCTGCAGCCCTCTGCCAGTGAAAATGGAGGCCCCTGAGCTCCATTTTTGCTGCCAGAGCACTTCAGGAGGCCATTGTAGCTGAAAATAGAGCTTGTGAGGGCTGCACACAGCCTTTCTGAGCTCCCTTTTTGCTGTCAGAGGCATCGCGGGCCAGACCTTCATTGTTTCCTTGGCGACCCTGCAGGCCACATCTAAGCACCCTGTGGGCTGGATGTGGCCCATGGGCCTTGAGTGACACCTCTGATCTAGAGTCTCCAAAATACAACTGCTGGATAAGAAAGCTGATATTTTATTTTAACACATTCTTCTTATTCCAAACATTTTTTGAATGAGTTGCAAAAAAACTGTGGTTTGGTCACTCACCGTAAGTCTTGAAGAATTCCACATGGCCAAGTACTGAGACACAACCCAGGCAAATTAAACAAGCCTGCACCATCTTGTTTGCCCCTTTGTGTTCACGAGGATAGGCCCAGTCTTAGAAGCCCTTGTGGTTTTTCTCACCTCTGAGGTGGGCTTTCTGGAGCATTTGCTCTTTTAATGCTAGACTGCTATTTCTGAAAACTTTTGGGCAGGATGTGGGTTTAATGCAGTGTTTGATCTGGAAGCCATTGCATTCAGGGCTGGTGGCAAAATGTTTCCCATCCCTTAGATCTGAGCTGAGGTTATGGAGTGGTGAAAAAAACATCAAACGGTTATTCACACATATATTGTGCCCTATAGATTAGTAAGGCAGGGGAAGGAGTGGATTTGGTTGCCATGCAAATGCCTCCCTGGATAAGTGAAACATCCAACAACGTTTAAAACTTTTAACTTGGATTTTGAGGGATTTTTGTTAGATCTGGCATCAGGGCCATCTTAACAGCATTATGGGCCCCGGGCAAAGCAGGGTACTGGGGCCCTACGACAACTACTCACAGAAATAAAAATGTAAATGCTTGATAAAATTAAACATATATTTATTTTATTGGCACTTCCAACAAAATCGATACTGAAACATTAAAAACATGTTGTGCAGCAACAACTAATCAACATAATAAATGAACAATACACGAGGCTTGAAAAACACAATAACATTCAGTAAGCCATACAGTTGCTGTATTTATGTGATACAAGGTGCATTGAAGGGTTAACATACACAGATTAGTATGGGGCCCCTATGCTTGTAGGGCCCACAGGCAAGTGCCCATCAAGCCCATGCGTTAAGACAGACCTGTCTGGCATCTAGAAGCTGAAGACCTGCTAGGTCAGAATGAAAAGGGCCATGAGCTCTTTCTTTCTAGGTAGAATTTGGGGGGGCAAATATCCAGGAGGTTCTACTTTAGCAAAGGTCCCCCATCTGTGGATGGATTCCTCTATCATGTTTAAAGTGAACTTACCTGTCAAAGAAAGGTAAAACTCTGTAAAACTTCCTTTCCTAGCTCCATAAGTGGAGTATTATGAGCGGCAAGGTCTTCTCACCAGAACGGCAAGATGATTATGCAGTGAATTAGACTGAAGTATAGAAATACTGTTGTTGTTCAGTCACTAAGTCATGTCTGGCTCTTTGTGACCCCATGGATCGTCCCCCCATCCTCCACTGTCTCCTGTAGTTTGCCAAAGTTTATGTTCATTGCGTTGATGATGCTATCTAATCATGGCACTATCTAATCATTTTATCATCTCATCCTCATCCTCCCTTTCTCCTTTTGCCTTCAATCTTTCCCAACATCAGGGTCTTTTCCAATGAGAGGAATATTCAAAGTATTCAACTATGGATTATCCCAGGAATTAGGGTCAGAAAGTTAGTGGAACATAATATGTATGTTCTTATCTTGTTAACTGGTTATGCAAGGCCTTTGTTGTATGTTGCTCATCCTTTTAATTACATTTTTTGTTTTGTTCTATAGAGTTTTATCATACTGGGTTTTTTTTCCCTTCTGTCTTGATGGCCAGCCTCCCAGAGTTATTTATTTAAGAAGGGCGCCCCGTACATTTTCTAAATAAAGAAATGAAGTGAAGAACAACATGTCCTTGTTTAAGTGGCATCCATCTTGTTAATTTAACATCTTCAGTGACCTTGTATTTTAACCGAGCTGATGAGGAATCCAGACATGAAGACTCACACAATTGCTAGCCAAAACAGCCCTCTATGATATTGGTTTTCCTTTCTGGGTCTCTGTAGCTGAGCCAGCAGTTTCACCTACATTTCTCCTTTCTTCAGAAAACAACAACGTTATTTCTACTGAGGTCTGTGGCCAGTCTCTACCACGGGACTATTTGCATTTGCTTAAGACAATGTTTTCCAACCTTGCTAACTAGAAGATGCATGGATTTCAATTCCCAGAATTCCCCAGTCAGCTGGCTGGGGAATTCTGGGAGCTGAAGTCCACATATTTTCCAGTTAAGAGACACTGGCTTATGAGGTAATGCATGCTTAGTAGAAAGGTTCAATTTCTTCTCAGCCTACCAGTTATTTATTGGGCAGAATTGACTACAGAAACCAACAAGAAAATGAAGATAGCTAAGCAGACAATATAATAAAAACCCATTATGAGCCACGGTGGCACAGTGGTTAGAGTGCAGTACTGCAGGCTACTTCTGCTGAGTGCCGGCTGCCTGCAATTTGGCAGTTCAAATCTCACCAGGCTCAAAATTGACTCAGCCTTCTATCCTTCCAAGGTGGGTAAAATGAGGACCCAGATTGTTGGGGGCAATAGGCTGACTCTGTAAACTGCTTAGAGAGGACTGTAAAGCACTGTGAAGCAGTATATAAGTCTAAGTGCTATTGCTATTTATTATTTTTCCAATAAGGCTTTTAAGGAGAGCATTACTCGGGAGGGTTTGCTCCCAGGATCCATAGCAAAAAGGGTATAGTTTTTAAGGGAAAAAAAGATTTTATCCATGAAGTGTTTTGGCAGGAAAACAGTTTTTTAATGGCATGAGTTTTGAGCAGTGTATGTTGGTGGAAAGTCTTGGTATGGATAGAATAAATAATAGGAATAGAGATAGCAGGTAACCCTTAAGGCTGTTTGTCAGCACTGTAATGTGCTGTTGCTTGTTTCATTCCATTTTTGTAGATAAGCAACACACACACATATCCCTCATCCATTCAGTTCATCTGGGTTTGCATGGGAGACAGACGCACAACTGATTTTCTTTTATTTTCTGCTGTTTAATCCGTGGAGTTATGACAGAATGAATCCAAACAACCCATCACATGGAGTGATATGTGTTCCTTCTTCACCACTGACTGAAGACCTCCAGCAATGAAGTGGGAAGGAAGAGATGGCTCTATCTGGTTCCCTTCACTACTGCACCCCTTACCCTATCTGAAACTGTGTGTGTGTGTGTGTGTGTGTGTGTGTGTGTGTATGAGAGAGAGAGAGAAAGAGGGAGAGGGAGAGGGAGAGGGAAAGAGAGAGAGATCCTTTTGATTGACAGCATCAGAATTGGTGGTGGAAAAGCTGCACGAAAGAGGAACAATAGAGAAGTCCTCTTTCTCTGGTGATGACTACCATGGATGGACACTACTATAATATTTCCAGGCTGAAATCTGTCCTCTAATTTGGCTACCCTCCTTTGAAAATGTCTATGTGGATTCTCAATCATCCAGGTTATGGTTGTCCCAAAGGTGCTTTTTCCAAAAGGCAACTGGACTTTCCTGGTTTTTTCCTTGAAAACATTTCACTTCTCATCCAAGAAGCTTCTTCGGTTCTGACTGAATAGTGGGAAACTTTTGTTTTTCTGATGCATTCACAAGATGCATTTTTATTTATTTTGTGTTATGTTATGTTATGTTATGTTATGTTATGTTATGTTATGTTATGTTATGTTATGTTATGTTATGTTATGTTATGTTATGTTATGTTAATCTTGATGCAGTGGTATTAAAATACAGTGCATGTTTTTTTTTCTTTTGACCCTAATTAATTGCAATTTTTTTCTTTTATTTGCTGGTTTATGACTGGATTAAAAACTGAATGATTGAAGCTTGAGCTCAGGTTGCTCCAAGGATGAAAATTAGCAATTCCCCTCTCACCATTCGCTGCAGGCCCAATCACCATCCATTTGCCATTTTTAGAAACTGTAATCAATGCCAAAACATATTTAGTGCCTTTGCTCATCGGATGCTGAACTCTTTGTCCTAATTTTGTTCATTCACTACTGCAGCTGTTATAGCTGTTGCTATTACGGTTTGTTGCACAGTCAGCCAGATGTTTAGACTGGATTTGGCATTTTTATCTACCTATCGAGTCCTCCCCAAGGACCCACGATAGCGAAATGTTGCTGTTTGATATTGGTGTTCAAAGGTATTGTGGCAGGATGTAAGCTGTTATAAGTAAAGCTGTCTTTTGTAATTGACTGATGGTGATTTTGTCAATGTCACTGACGGTGTTCAAGAGGCTCTCCAGTTATTTTGGGATTTTGTTTTGTTCATTTGCTATTGCAGTTGTTGTAGTGGTTGGAACACAGGCTAACTCACTGCTCACTGACAGGAGTTTGATTCTGACCTGCTCAAGGTTGACTCAGCCTTCCATTCTTCTGAGGTCAGTAAAATGAGGACCCAGATTGTTGGGGGCAATGTGCTGACTCTGTAAACTGTTTAGAGAGGGCTGTAAAGCACTATGAAGCAGTATATAAGTCTAAGTGCCATTGCTATTGCTGCTGTTGCTGCTATTATCATTATTATTCAGGTTCTAACACCAGCACGGTCCCCTTTCTCTTTCAAGGGAGCCAGATGACAGTGACTCAACCACTTCCCACATCCTCTTTCCATCCCATAGCTATGGCTATATCTATGGTCCTCTGGCCATTGAGCTGCTGGAACACGATGTGTTGGATGAAGATGAGGATCCCAACATGGTGGAAGGTCCCTGTTCATCCACCAAATTCTTCCACAGTTCCTGCCAAACCCCATCGTCCAGCCTGAGTGAAGACGAGGCCTCCCTGGGAGGCTCCCTGGTGAATGGCTGGGGATCTGTTTCAGAGGACAATGGCCCCAGCACTCGCTGCAGCCTGGTCAGCTCTTCAGATGGTTCCTTTCTATTGGATGCCAACTTTGCTCAAGCCCTGGCAGTGGCAGTGGACAGTTTCTGCTTTGGCCTGACAAAGAAGGAAGTTGACAGGCCTTTGACAGGTAATGGCATGTGGCCCTTCCCTTCATCACATTGGATGGAACCCCAAACTATGTTTGGATGTTATCTGTGCTCCATTAAAGGACAAGAGAAATATACTTTCCTTTCACTGCAAAGACAATGAGTCTATGGAGAAAGCCTCTTTGATCATCTGGGATTCCAGCACAGTTCTAGTTCCAGTCCATCTGGGCAATCTGGTCTACCCAAATATGGGATGGAGCATACTGCTTCTACTTTTGCCTTTCAGTCTCGATCCGGGGGCCTTCGCAGGCAGTCGCTTTTGCGACAAACTATTTTTGTGTTGAATTTATATTTACTGACAAAGAAATAAAGGGAAACTATTATAGATCTATTTCAAGCTATTTAGCTCTCATCAGTTAGCAATACCCTTCTGGGATTTGAACCCAGGCTAATTTAGCTTTTAATTTTACACTAATATTATCCTAACATTGTGTGCCTGAGAAACAAACTTCTGTTTCCTATTTTAATCCCAGTAGGTTTAAGAATGACGTTTCTACTTCTCTTGGTGACATTTGTAAACTGACATTATTGTTGGAGATGGGGGAGAATGCTTCTCTAGGGCGCTTTGCTATTAACCATCCTCCAAGACTCTGAGGTTCCCTATATCTAAAAAAAAAAAAAAAAATTCTCCCCCCCCCCCCCCAAAAAAAAACTCTAGGAAGAGACCATTAATAATAATGGTTGGTTTTTTTTTTTTTTCATTTTTTAAAATGAAGGTATGGAAAACCAGGGTGGTAAATTGACCATTGAAAACCAGGTTTCATTTCTAGTCCATTTCATTACTAAGCGTGAGAATAACAAATTCTAGTCATAAGAAATTCACTGACATTCTCTTTTCCTTTGAAAGAAATGTCAAAAGCAAGCTCATTTTCATCTAATGGATGAGAACCAGTAGAAAACATTTTCGGACGTTTTCTGCATGGCATTCATTTATCCCCCCCCCCAAAGAAGTTAAAAGTACTAGAAAACAAGAGCAGAATGAAGAATTGGAGAAAAGCTTCATAGGAGGGCACTTACTTTGCATCCAGAGGGATCTGAGAAAAATCTCCTGCCTGAAACTCTGAAGAATCATTACCTGTCAGGCACAACAATATTAGGATAAAGGAACCCAGTTGAAAACAAGTGTTCTGTTTTCCTGCTCAGCATGAATCATTGAGGCTGGATTATGAACAGATATAGCAAGGCAAATGATTTTTCTTGTGCTATAAAAGCTGAAGATTTGCAACTTGTGGAGAAGTAAAACATTCCAATGCACTTTAGTTTGCTTCAGTTCAATAACATTGACATCCTTACCAGTTGTTGCAACACCATTCATTGTTAGTTAACTTGGTGGCCAAGATGTTGGCAGGTGAAACCAGGGCCTCCCCCCCCCCCTGTGAGTTGAAAAATCCTGCAAGTGTAGGAGCAGAATCAGCATGCTCCCTTGACCTCCTGAAGGATGGTCTCTGGGGCAGTGAAATTCAGACACTGAATTTCAGGGTTTTGTGTGTGTGCTCTAGAAAAAACAGAATGTTTGATTTATATGGTATCTTCTATTCAGGTTTGAGCACTTCCATTCAATCTCTGTTCCTGATAATAATGTAGGTAGCCAGGAAAGCAGAACTTGATTTATCACTGCAGTAATTCTCTGCTGCTGTTAGAATAAGGATTTTGCTTTGGGCTTTCCCCGCCCCCTTCTCCTTCTACACATTTTGAGAGAGCTAAACATGCCAAAACTGATGGCACAAGCAAGGAAGCAAATAAATAAAATAAATAAATATGGGGGCAAATTCAGAAAAAGGAGAAGAAGGAGCAAAAAAGGCTTCCAGACACAACTATGCATTCCTGGAACAAAACAGCCAGATGGCTGCTCTTATGCTCCTTTCCTCAAAGGCAAAGACAAGATTTCCACTTTCTCTAATTGATTCCTTTGAAGCTTTCCCAAGCTCTGTCAGTTACTCAGCCAGATCCCCCTTTGTCATCCAGACTTAAGCTGCTTGATCCTTACGGCTCTCTCTATCTCACAACCAGATTCCTGTATTTTGTGTTCCCGTCCCTGCAGTGGAAAACACAAAGGGATTTAGGATCAGGGCATCTTGAAATTTCCAGGGGGAAAATGTGGGGTTTCAGCCTTTGAATGTCTCTTCTTTATCCAGGACCACTTTACATAAAGCATCCAGACTGGATCGCCTGAAATAGCAGCATTTATAGAAGACATTAGATCACTCTATTCTTCAATCCATTACAATTGCTGGGGTTCCATTTTAGTCTCTTTTGCCTTGTTGCCTCCATATGTAACTTGAGAAATAACCGGGCAAATATTAAGTTAACTTTCCCTAAAATCACCTTTCCCTGAATACACAAATGTGCATACTTTTTTCCCTACTGGGCCAAGAATTGTACTGCAAATTGCAGAAAAGTGCACCATTATCTGCCCATCTATATATTAACAATGGATTGGTTCACATGTTTACACACAGCGCAAACAAAGGAAAATGGAAAAAAAAAATACATGATGGCATCCAATTGGTTTTCAGCTGCAGCCATCAGTGGAATGGAAACATGAACTGAAAGCCTCGGGCATCTTTAATTTGCTAGCTATAAATTAATTGTGACTTGAATTTTACCCTGTTGATCATTTCCTTGAAATGCACACATATATCCATTTGGAATCCATTATAGATACTCAAGGTACTTTGCAGTTGTGGTTGTTTTTTTCTCTTCTGCCTTTTTGCCGGCATAAATTTATGTTCTGCATGAAACGCTCCTTAGAAACAGAGGAACTATTTGTGGTCCCAAAATATTCCATATATTTAGCTCTTCCCCCATTCCAGGAATTATTCTAAGAATCCTAGTCAACCTTGTAAATTAGTTAGAGGGTTCTAAAGCATCTCTGCCTGGGAATGTTGGGATTTGAAGTCCTGGATTGTTGAAGACTAAACAAAATAGTGCCTATTTCTGTACAGACCATGTGTTTCCCCTGGGTGCACTTATGCAGACAGTTGAAGCTTCGCCTGAGCTATAATGGGCCATTATAGTTATTTGTTGCTTTTATGTCCTCCAGAAGCTCAAGGTGGTGGACATACTAATTTTGCACTTCCAATAACCCAGGGAAGCTGCCTGAGCTGAGAGATAGCAGCATGTTCTCAATGAATCCATAAGCTTCATGATGGAGAGAGGATTTGGCTCTCTCGGTCCTAATCCAAATGACATGGCTTGATATCACAGTTCTCACACTACATTGGGGGTTCTTGGAAGTTCCACTTCTTATCTTCTGGTGCATAGGTGGTGAACATGTGCCTGTTCTCTTCTCCCCTGCAGATTTTTTGCCTCCTGTATCTCCTCTGGATGGTCTCCTGCATCCTCAGGCTCTCATGAAGAGCTCAGAAGAAGTGCAACAGAGGCTTGGATCGCAGCCCCTTCCTGTGTGGGAATGGAGCACTGATTGGGTGGACGAGATGGAAGCCAAGTATATGCAACCAGCTGAGGGCTGGGAGGCTGCTGTTAAGCCAGGGAAAGCCAGGATAGCTGCACCAGAAGAAGCCCAGCTGGTCCCTACTTCTATCCAACAGGGAATGAATGACAAGTGTTGTTGCTCCAAGGTGGAGGGCCACCTACCAGGAATCCTAAAGTAGTAGCTGTCCTGCTTTGGTTGGAGTTTGGTGTTTGGAATTTGATGAATTTTGAATTCTTTTTCAGTGCTAGGAGTCTAATTCAGGAAAGCCATGGTCCCTGTCAATCATCTGTAGAAATGGACAACTCGTCAACTTTCATCTTTTTAGAAAAGGGAAAATGCTTATCTTCCTTCCATCCTATTTTTGATTTGATTTTTAGAAGAAACCAGACTCAATTTTCACCTATCTTCCCTGGGCAAATTCAATAGGCCCAGGTAGCATTTCTTGGTGTGGAAAAGAATAAGTTGTACCTGTCTACTCTCAAAATTGAGGAACTGGTCAGAAAGCAACTCTGATTCCGGGCTGAAGTCACTTGGATTTGGACTAGGACTTTAAAATGGTGCATGTTTTTTTTTGCATTCTGACGGGGTCTAAAGACATGGTGTCCAGGTCAGAATGCAGATAGGGAAATATCAGTTGGATTGACTAGGCAAATATTATTTTAAGACCAAGATTTCTGGTTAGTTGAAGCTCAAGGCCCAGGAAAAGGAGATTCTAAATCCAGAAAAAGTAGGGTGTGCTTAGGTCTCTAACCTAAGGTCTAGATAACAAATAGCAGAAGTTGCTTTTTTTTTAACTTTATCGCTACGTTATTTATAGGATGGGGCACCTAGCAAATGTTCTGCAAGTGGTCAGTGTGACATGGGAGGTTTTTGAAGCTTCGAAAACCTTTTTAGATAAAAGGATGATGGCTGTTGAGGTTTCAAACTCATGCCAAGCTGTGACTTAGCAAGCTGCTGTACCTGTCAACCTCCCCCCACCATTTCGTCTGTTGCAAAAGGCACATGAGCTTGGTTGGTCAGGTGCAACAGGTTCATCTTACCTGACCCATTTCTGCCATGTTGCACTTGGGACCCACTGAAATAGGTTACTCTGAACAATGTTTTATTCATTATTATTCCCAGTGGTTTTGTTTTCTTTGTTTTGGGTAGTTTTGCTCAAAGTCATCTGATTTTGAAGGAGGGAACTTCACTTTTCCTGTCCCTTCTGCTCGTGTGAGTCTCTGTGAGTCCAAATAACCAAAGACTCAATGAATGTCACCCCGAACCTGCAGCCCTAGGCTGCTTCAAGTTTTAACAAACGGAGAGGGAGGAGGGAAGAAAGACCTATTGATTTCCAATGCTGCAACTGACTGATGGGGGCCTTTCAACCTCCCACACCTTTGCGCCTCAGTGAGCAGGCAAGAGAGATTCAATTAGTTGAATGCCTTGTCTGATGGAAATATCTAGCCCGGCCTTTGCTCTCTGCCACACTCACTTTGGATCAGAGCTTTATTTGGCATTAGAAGGATGGCTGCTTTTCAGCTGCATTCTAGCATTCCGTAAAATAGAGTTGAAGGATGCTTTATAGACCAGAGCAAATGACTCATCCATAGGCACTGAAGAGCCTGCCTGGATAGAGCCAGAGACCATTTGGTCCAACATTTTGGGTCCCACAGTGGCCAGCCAGATCAATTCAAGAGCCTAGCAAGCATCAACAAGAGGAAAATTGCTCACTTCTACTGTTACTCCCCAATAGATGGTGTTTAAGATCTGCTTCTTTTGAGTTAGTAAGCATCCATTAAATCCAATAACTTTTGGTAGCCCTTCAATGAAATGAACTTGGCAATGGCCATCACTGCAGCCCATGGTAATAAATTCTGTAATTCAGTCTTGTTTTGAATGTAGACATGATTTCAGAAGCAACTTTGTGGGGCCCAGTATCCCTCACAAAGGAGGCATTAGATAACCTTGTTTGTTCATGCAGTGAAATGACTGGGTTATTAGTAAAGAACATTTCTAATAATACTATTATCAGTGTAAGAAGGGTGGTAGCTCAGTAATAAAGCATATACTCTGTGTGTCAGTGATCCAGAGTTCAGGTGTTTGTGTGGGATTGAGGAAGACTCCCATTGAAGCTTTGGTGAGCTGCTTCCAATTATTATAAACCAGGATTTTCAATCCTCTCCAAATGTACTGAGAGTACAACTCTCTTAAGATTTGGTAATAATGATGTCAATTCTTTCTTTTTGCCCAAATTATTTTTGTGTGAATCCTGGATTTTGATCTTGACATGCATGTTGGATACCACCAGTAAAAAAAATACAGAAATTGAAAAGTGTTTGTTCCCATTTCTATACTAAAGCAACCACTCTTTTCATTTGCTCTGTTGTAAATCTTGAACATGCATCTTCTGATGTTCCAGGTAGAATGATTCAAAGGTCTGATCCATCTATTCCTGACATGCTGCTGCTGCTGGAAAAAGCTATGGTGTTACCGAGAGCAGAAAAGCCTTGGCCAATTAAAATGCTGTCAACTTTTAAAGACTGTCCCTTTTCATGACAATCAAAAGGATGCCTCCTCTCTTGAACTGAACCATTTCAATGTTCAAGGTTGTGAAGTTTTATTCTTGCTTAGCTGAGAAATGATGCATTTCTAAGCGGTAGATCCTATTGATCAACAGATGCCAGATCAATCTATAATAACCCTACTGGAGATAAATAGATTTTGTCTGCATTTCAGCCAAGTTCCAAGATCCATTACTTGGATTATTATAGGACTCTTTCTTCCATTGGTATATCAGAGAGCTAGAATAATAAAAAAAAGTTTTTTAGCTTTTCAGATTTGTCCCATCCCATCTCCAAATCCATTAATAGTGAAAGTTGTTGTTATTATTATCTCTTTTATTCATTAAACTTGAAATTCAGTCAACTGAACATTTAAACATGTATCACAAATATCATTGACTGGTGCTGATGGTTGATACGGGTTGCTGCCAGCACCCTAGGTATCAACTAAATATCTTCTTAAGAAGTACAATATTCTGAGTAGCACATTTTTTTTGCAGTTCTGCTGATGTTATTGCAGGAAGTTGCAATTTTTTGATGTATTTTGTAAAATTCTTGGACATGGTACCAAATGCTCTGATGACAATGGGTATCACTGTTACACGTTTCATCCATGGCCATCAAAACTACGCAATTATGAATGAAACGTGTAACAGTGATACCAGTGATGAAATCCTACCAGTTCGCACTGGTTCGGGCGAACCGGTAGTGATAAAAGCTACCGGTTCAGCTACCGGTTGGTCCGAACCGGTATTTCCAATGATCAGCTGTGCTGCACAATTTAAAATAGCTAGAAAGCAGGAAATCCTGCTTTCTAGTAAAACTAAATTGTACGGCTCAGCTGTTCCCCCCCTCCTGTTCTACTTACCTTCTGAAGCCTCCTTTTTCCGCATGCAGCAACCTCTTTCCCACTATCAGTCATGCCCTGTGCAGTGCTATTACTGCTCTCCCTCTTTGTGGTGTGAAGTCAATGTGTCCACAGCTACTTCCTCTTTTCCTTTAAAACAGTAAAGGTTTCTGGCCCAGGGTCCAGAGGACTAACCAAAGCAGACTGGACAACATTGACCATCCAGTCTGTGTAATTGATAGAGTTGGACACTTGGGTCCTGGAAATCAACATCATCATCATCATCATCAACAACAACCAAGTATCTCCTTAAAACGTATGATGTTCCGAGTAGCGCAGTTTTTTGCAGTCTGCTGGTGTTATTGCAGGAAGCTGCAATTTCTTGATGTATTTTGTAAAATTCTTGGACATGGTACCAAGTGCCCCAATGACAATGGGTATCACTCAGTGGTGAAATCTTCCCTGGTTTGTCACCAGTTCGCTGCCCGCGCATGGACAGTGCGTGCCAAGTGTGTGCTGCGCATGCATACATTTAGAACATTTAGAATGCACTGCACATGTTCATTGAAGGTGTTCAAAAGCCAGAGTTTTTCACTACGTTGGCACCCTTGGCTTTCCTTATTGGAATCATAGTCCTGGAAATGCATTCTCTTGCTGGTCTATTAAGTTTCATCAACGTAGACATGGGTTGACAAGTGTCCTCCTTTCTTCTCAGTTATTGAGCTTATTCCTTATGCAATCTTCAGAGACCTCTAAGGTTTCTTCCAATGGTTTAGACCAGTGGTGGGTTGCTCCCGGTTTGCCCCAGTTTGGGCAAACCATTGGCGGCAGCGGGAGGCTCTACTCACCTGCCCAGATGTGATCAAAAATGCTCTGCACATGCGCAGAAGTGCCACGCACTACCGATAGCGAATCAGTAGCACCGGGATTTGAAATCCACTACTGGTCTATACTCTAGGACCATGATGGCGAACCTATGGCATGCATGCCACAGGTGGCATATGGAACCATGTCGTCTGGCACGCCAGCTTAGCTCCAGGAGTCTCTGGAGGATGGGGACAGCAAAAAACATCACTTCCTGTCCAACTGGAAGTTGGGAAATGGGCCGTTTTGGGCCTCTGGAGGGTCTCCGAGGGGGTGGGGAAGGGTGTTTTTGCCCTCCCCAGATGCATAGAGAGGATCTGGAGCCAGGTGAGAAAGAAAAACAGGCCATTACGTTCCAAGAGTTGGGGGGGAACGATGACACGGGGGGGTCGCATGCGCATGTGCGGGGCGGGGCGCATAGAATTATGGGTGTGGGCACGCGTGCACACAAACCTCCCCTACCTCCACCCTTCCTGGCACGTGATGGCCATCACTGCTCTAGGAAATCAAAATTGACATAGGAGAAATGACGGTGTGGATATTTTTAATAAACTAGTTTTCCAGTTTGGGGTGTTAAATATTCCCCACTCTGATAATTTCAATTATTGAAGTATCCATTTTGGGTCAACCTCTTCCATGTATGGTGCTCACTGACTCCACGTCAAAGGCCTTCCATGGTAGTAGAGTGTTTTGCAATCTTTTCACTAGCCTCCTCCCAACAATTCTAGTATAATATTATTTATAGGGTGAGCATAAGATGTAATCAGCCCACATCACATCTGGTTTGCTTGTTTGCTGATTAGCTGGAATGATGACACATCCTCACAGGAACATTTACCCTGCAGGAAGCTATGATGAGACTAGAGTGCCTATAAGCCATTCTCTCACATGTCTCCTTATCTTTTGCTGGCAGAGGCCTAGGTTTGCCAACATTTGAGCCATAGCTTGGTTGAACTGTGCTCTCCAAGGAGATCTCATTTAGCTCTGCCCAATCCTGCCATCTGCATTTTAAATTCACTTTAAAGCTAGAACTCCTTTTGTCAGTTGATTACCTCCAGATACACTGTAATATACATGTCATAGTTCTTAGCCTGCTAGTTTCATTTCATGGTATTGGAAGTTGAGATATAAAGATAATTGTTGACAATTGCAGAATTGCCCTATGTAGTTAGCCTATTCAGGATTTTGGCCAGCTCTTTCCTGCTCCAGATTATTCAATTTCCCCTCCTACCTGCAGATTTCTGGAGCATTTGATTGGTTTAACAGAGAAATAAGTAACCGGAGGAGCACTGATTTGGTTTGAGGAGCAGAGTTTTTCACATCTCGTCAGAAATGTAGGAATTAAAAGGGGAAAATTATTAATTTAAGTTTTAGAAGATTAAAAACTTTAATAAAAACATAACTTTATATAGTTTTATCCTAATCCCGGGCCACATTGATGGCAGGGATATTTTTGAGCAGTTAGTCATTCTGTGGGCATGTTGATCCTAGGGGGAACTGTAAAACGGCGGCCCCCAACATTTTTGGAACTAGTTTAGTGGAAGACAATTTTTCACCTGGGGGAGTGCAGGAGGAGTGCACACAACCTAGATAATTTGCGTGCGTATGCTCGCTTGCCTGCTGCTTACCTCCAGCTGTGCAGCTCAGTCTCTAACAGGCTATAGATCGGTACCAGTCCATGGCCCAGGAGGTGGGGACCCTTGCAGTAAAAGATAGATAGTTGCAAACAGATTAACAGAGTTGGAAGGGACCTTGTAGGTCATCTAATCCAACCTTTCACCCAAGCAGGAGACCCTACATCATTTCTGACAAATGGCAGTCCAATCTTCCCTTGAAAGTCCCCAGTGATGAAACTCGCACAACTTCTTAAAGCAAGCTGTTCCATTGGTTGGTTGTTCTCACTGTCAGAAAATTTCTCCTTATTTCCAGGTTGAATCTCTCCTTGATCAGTTTCCATCCATTATTCCTTGTCTGGCCTTCAGATGCCTTGGAAAATAGCTTGAAAGCTTCCTCTCTGTGGCAGCCCCTCAAAAATTGGAAGACTCCTATCATGTCTCCCATGGTCTTTCTCTTCACTAGACTAGCCATGCCCAGTTCCTGCAACCACTCATTGTGTGTTTTAGCCCCCAGTCCTCTAATCATCTTGGTTGCTCTTCTCTGCACCCTTTCTAGAGTCTCAACATCTTCTTTGTCTAAAATGTTGCTTGAATAGTGCCACAATCACAGTAAATATCATTATTCACAGTAAGTAGTTTTTCCTCATATTAATTCTTTATTAACCTTAACAATGGCAGGGATAGTGTGTTCACTGTTTTTGCCCTGGTTTTTCACTTGTAGCATCTTGAGATGAATGTCACATCTTTGTTCCTTCATCTTTCCCCAGGCTTGAAGTTAAGTCAGAGTGAAAGTTGGCCTCGGGAGTTTTGTATTCCAGTCAGTCCCACTGCACTCAGTGAGCCAGATGGGGTCAGAGAGTTAAGTGCCTGTGGATAGTTTTAAAAGGATGGATAATTTTATGACTGTGACAATAATTTTATGAGCTTTTGCTTCTTAAGATGAACTAATTAGAATTGGTATTTCGGAACGTCAGCAGACCACTGGCAAAACGGGGTGTAAAGTTTGGTGAATATATTTTATCTTTGGGAGTGACAGCATGATTTGCTTAGCATTCAGTCCTCTCCTGCAGCATCTCATTGGCTTTCTGAAAGTTTGTTCATTCATCCATTTTATTCATCATGATACTACCAAACTACTCAGGCTAAAGCTCTAATTAGGGTAATATTATTAAAAAAAAACTTGTAGAAATCATGAGAACTCTATTCTCAGTACTCAGCCACCACTATAAGTTAAAAATGACATCATTCCATAAAACAGAAAGTCTGTGTTGCAATGTTTTCAGGATCAGACTCAATAAATCATTTAAGAATTAATAGTTCAAATATATCTCTCTTTATTTACACAAGGCATTCTATATTCACTGAATATCCACAGATAGAAGCAAAGAATGAGTGCGTGCAGCTCCTTATATATACAATGGGTGGAGCTAGATATGGGAGTGGTGAAGTATGAATACATTAAGAAGTGAAGAATAAATTAACCCCTGATATCCCGTTCATATACTATTTACATATTGGAGAATAAGGCATTTACTTGTGACAAATCCCCCTCTAAATGCCGATTCGATATGCTACACCAATTACATTCAGATTCAGAACAATACAAAACATATAACTTAGAAGTCAGGTATTTATGTTGCTTAGATGGCAAAGGTTTTGTTAATATGTCAGCTAATTGTTCTGATGTCTCACAATGCACCGCTTTAATAAATCCATCCTGAGATAACTGTCTCACATGTTTAAATTTTATATCTATATGTCTGGACCTTTGTCCAATGGCATCAGATCTAGATATTTCGATAGCTGCTTTATTATCCTCATGCATGACAAAAGGCAAGGCAGGTTTTTTCCAAATGTCAGAAATTAAGTCATTAAACCATACAAGGTTATTTGCTGCTTTAGATAGACAAACATATTCAGCTTCTGTTGTTGAAGTGGCCACTAAATCTTGTTTG